GAAAAAATCTATAAGGGGATATACCAATATATTATTAGTGTTTATCTTTGGCTGAGTAAGGGCATTAGGTTTTTTGTTTTGTTTGTTTTTGCGGTACGCGGGCCTCTCACTGTTGTGGCCTCTCCCATTGCGGAGCACAGGCTCCGGACATGCAGGCTCAGCGGCCATGGCTCACGGGCCCAACCGCTCCACGGCATGTGGGATCTTCCCGGACCTGGGCACGAACCCGTGTCCCCTGCATCGGCAGGTGGACTCTCAACCACTGTGCCACCAGGGAAGCCCTAGGTTTGTTTTTTTTTTTAATGTTCTTTCTGTTTATATGTATTCTGCTTTTCTTTCCCCAATGAGTGGTTTTGTGAGTAAATTTTTTTCTTTAAGTTTATCAAAAATGAATCCCTTTATGTCTTCTAATGAGGGTAGATAGCAGTGACATGTTGGTTTTTTCTACCCCCATCTTGGATGTACTTAAATTGCCCTGCAAAGTGGGGAGGGAAGAGAGTGAAAGATAAAGAGAAGAGGAGAGAAACCTAGGAGAAGAGACAGGTCTGGGAGGATTTTTCAAATGAAATGCTGATCAATATGAATTCCCTTATTTACCTTACCTACCTTACAAAATCAGTAAATTCTTTAATATTTTTGTGTGAGTTGAATATTTTGGTGGGAAACGCAAAAGGAAGAGACAACAGTAGTATTGGTTACATTTTGGGTGCTGCCTGGGATTTTCAGAGTAAAGTGCACTGCCTAGCTATATTTAGGATTAAATCATTGCCTAGAATAGTGGTTTTCAAACTCTTAAAGATTATTGAGGCCCCTAAAGAACTTTTATTTATGTGGTTTATAACTACTTTATATTATCCATATTAAAAATCAAAACTAAGAAAAATTTAAATCACAAGAATATGTAAGCTGTCAGAGTGATGACATTATCACACATAATGACACCAGAAGTAAAAGCAACAAAAGCAAAAATAAACAAATGGGACTATATCATACTAAAAATCTTCTGTTACAGCAAAGGAAACCATCAACAAAATAAAAAGGCAACCTACTGAATGGGAGAAAATATTTGCAAATCATATATCTGATAAGGAATTAATATCCAAAATATATAAAGAACTCATACAACTCTATAGCAAAAGAACAATCCAATTAAAAAATGGGGGCTTCCCTGGTGGCACAGTGGTTGAGAGTCCGCCTGCCAATGCAGGGGACACGGGTTCGTGCCCTGGTCCAGGAAGATCCCACATGCCGCGGAGCAGCTAGGCCCGTGAGCCATGGCCGCTGAGCCTGCGCGTCCGGAGCCTGTGCTCCGCAACGGGAGAGGCCACAACAGTGAGAGGCCTGCGTACCGCAAAAAAATAATAATAATAATAAAAAATGGGCAGAAGATCTGAATAGACATTTTTTTTTCCAAAGAAGACATACAGATGACCAACAGGTACCTGCAAAGATGCTCAGCATCGTTAATCATCAGGGAAATGAAAATCAAAACCACAATGAAGCATCACCTCCTGCCTGTTAGAATGACTTTATCAAAAAGACAAGAAAGAACAATTGTTGGCAAGGACGTGGAGAAAAGGGAACCCTCGGGCACTGTTGGTGGAAATGTAAATTGGTGCAGCCACTATGGAAAAAAGTATTGAGTTTCCTCAAAAAATTAAAAATATAACTATGTGATCATATAACTATATGATCCAGCAATTCCATTTCTGGGCATTATCTGAAGAAAATGAAAACACTAACTAGAAAAGATATATGCACCCCCATGTTCATTGCAGCATAATTTACAATAGCCACGATATGGAAACAACCTCAGTGTCCATCAACAGATAATGGATAAAGATGTTTATATATATATATATATAAAATTTTCATAAAAAAGAATGAAATCTTGCCATTTGTGACATGGATGGACCTCGAGGGCGTTATGCTAAGTGAAATAAGTCAGACAGAGAAGGCCAAATACTGTGTGACCTCTCTTATATGTGGAATATAAAACAACAACAACAAGAACAACAAAAACCCAACCAACATCATAGATACAGAGAACACATTGATGTTCTCTTTGTTGGGATTGTTGCCCGATCCCTGTGTTTTCTGAGTTGCTACTTCTCACTCTCAGTTGTGCCTGCTGTCCACCAGTCTACAGCTTCTCTAGTCTAACTTTATTTATTTTTTCCCTCTGGTCTAACTTTAAAAGACCCCTTTTCCTGCCAGCGTTCGAGGAGAGACTGTCAGAGGGCCTGTCGGCTAAGGGAGGAGATGGAGGGGGGACAGTCAATCTAATTCCTGTTTTTTGCCTTGTTCTGTGGTAGGACTCAGCTTGCTTTTTGACGGTTTCTCCCCGAAGATGCTTGCAGTGTGGAAAAAGTTGAAACGAAATTACTTACCAATTAGTTTATCCCAAAATTTTGTCAACAACTCAAGTCTAATGTATCACCTCTCTTATTCTTTGCCCTGTGGGTTTAATGCCTTTTGTGCCTTTACTTTCATTTTAGTGAGGTTTTGGGAGGCAGGAGATAAGTTCAGGTGTCCAATCTGCCACGTATGACCACTAGCCTCAATTTAGTTTCCATAGAAACAGCTTCTCTTCCCTTTAGCACCCCATTTTTATTGATTTATATAATAATTAAATTATGTAATTACAGTTGTACAACTGGCATAAAGAAGTTTAAGAACAAATCCAATTGACTCTTGGTAAATAATACTACTCGGTGGCCATCAGTTAGTAGAACAGAAGTGTGTGGGCTCCAGTTCATTTATTTTACAGAAAGAATGAAAATTGTGGTTAGGTTGGGCAAGTTGGATTAAATGGAAATTAGTTAACTGAGCTTCTACATTAAATAAATGAATATAAGACATTCATTAACAGGGTGCATTTTATTTCTATTTTATTTTTTTAACATCTTTATTGGAGTATAATTGCTTTACAATGGTGTGTTAGTTTCTGCTGTATAACAAAGTGAATCAGCTATACATATACATACATCCCCATATCTCCTCCCTGTTGTGTCTCCCTCCCACCCTCCCTATCCCACTCCTCTAGGTGGACACAAAGCACCGAGCTGATCTCCCTCATTAACAGGGTGCATTATTAAAAGTCTAAATGATTTGGCTTCTTGGACAACCAATTTAACTTTAAATGACTTTATCTGTGTTTAAAAACTCCTTGAGCAAGCAGATGCCTTTCCAGAATCAGGCTCTTTTCTGTACTTTGAACGTGGGTACTATTGATGTGTTCAGACTGACTTCCTGGACTCTGGACCCTTGTCTGTCCTAACTCCTATATATCCCATCCTACTTCTGCATTGATTTCCTGGTTGGACTTTTGACCTGCAATGACCTCAATGCATCAGTGAGTTGATGCCTTACATTCCTTTTGAGGCTCCCCTTCATAGGTACATGGTTCCCTCAGTCTCTAACCTTTTAGGCTTCTTCAGAGTAAAACTGACTTGCCTTCCTGTTGGCCTTCTTCTCTGCAGGAAGTCAGGTTTCAGCTTCTGTGCTCTAAGTAAGTTACCTGCTCATCTGTTTGCTTTCCACCTTCCAAAATTCTGGTATTTTTCATCTTTCTTCTCCCATATTTGTCATTGAGGGGTTTATAGCTTTAATAAAAAGTATTCCTTCACTCTCGGTTTAATGGGGTTCTGAAGAGAACGGTTACTGCTTGTCTTCTGGAGTTCATGTTTGGTCTTCTCTCGACTATGGTAGTTCCCATTTTCTAAACCCTTAATCTCTTGATTCTCCAGAAAATAGGAGCATTTTGAGCTTTCTAGACAACTTAAAAAAGGTGTCTACCTAGTCTTTTCCTGGGACTGCCTACAGAGGCATTCCCAAGGGTTAAAGAAAGTAGTATTACCTGTGTTTTCTTGAAAAGTGGAGAGTTGAGTTTCTTTAGAATTCAGTTATTCTTTAGCTCATTGATACTCAATAGCACAGATGTATTAAAAGCACAGATTTTATTAAAATGTGTAGAACTCAAACTTGATAAAAAGACTTTAAGTTAGAGCTGACAACAGTCAGCATGTCTTTTTAGTTATACATAGAAATTCATTTAATATGAAGCTCTGCGATGTAAGGAATAATCAGTGGATTGTTTTTTATATGTTTGGGAAGAGAATGGAATGGAAGGAAATTGTTTTCTTTCAGAATATAAGGTACATTTTTCACTAGCGAGGAATAAAAAGTCCTTTTCTTTAAAAATAATAATTTCCTCACTAGGAACATTTGTGGATTGTGGTTGCCTTAAAAAAGTGAAACAATTTAAATATTATCTGGACAATGGATTCTTTCCAGACTATACTGTGGAATCATAGAATCATCTAGTCTAACATTTAATAGTATGTCTTGATTCTTTCTAGAATATCTACAGTATTGTTTGAATACTCGAGGCCTGGGGGGGCCCACCATCTGATATCTGAAAACAGACTTCCTGTGAAGCAGGAGTGATGGTTTCCTGAGAACAAATCCTTCACTATCAAGACATGGAAAGATAGCACTCGGCTGCTAGTAACAAATTGCACCAAAGTTACAAATGCAGACCAAGCCTTGGTAAATATTAATGACGATGATGATTTTGTGACCTACTAAAAATGTCAGATTTTAGCATTATGAGCGTACTGTAGATACTAGAATGTAATTGAACCAAAATGATGCTCGAGAGAAATTTTGAAGTAAATGTGCAAATTAGGCTACGCAGTATAAACTAGAAGTGCCCAAGTCATTCTGTTCCTTAGTAAAGCACAACCAAGTAAGCCTTTTTTTTGTTTTTTTTGGCTGCTCTGCGAGGCATGTGGAATCTTAGTTCCCTGACCAGGTATCGAACCCATGCCCCCTGCAGTGGAAGCGTGGATTCTTAACCACTGGACCACCAGGGAAGTCTCTCCCAGCATGTAAGCCATTTATGCAGCAGAGCATTTGTTTTTAGTTTCTGACATCTGTTTGGGTCGTCTACAACTGGTGGCATGGAAGGGAAAAGAAGGCTGCAAAGACTGAACAAAGAGCATGCACTGTGGTAGCCTTTATTTAAAAATTGTGAGCTAACTACAGTTGTAGTGTTCTCATTTACCATTCTGATGGCATAATAAACTGGGAGAACATTAACACAACTTCAAGAAGGCATCAAAAAACCTGTAAACAAACATACACACCACGCATGCGTGCACATATACAGCATACATGCACACAAAGATTATAGTCTAAACACAATCAAAAGTGATGAAGAAAAGCTTTGAATGCTCTAAATCAAATTTTAAAACACTTTATTATAATAAACTGTGTCAATACTGTGGCTATATGAAAAATGTTGTAACTGCTTAAAAAGCAAAAAGAAAAATACTGGCAATTTGAAACTAGCAGCAAGAAGCAGATAAAAATAGAATGGAAGATAACATAAGACTAAGTAACATCAAAATTCTAATGTTGATACTGTGTAGGATTGCACTGAAGTAATTTAAAATTAGTTCTTAAGGAACTCGCAAAAAGTCCCTTGAAATATTAAACTGCTGCGCTTTACAAACAGTGGAAAAGAAAAAAGTATTTGGAATGTTACACACACACAGAGGAAATGTATTAGGCATATCAGTTTATGGTCTTTGTTTATGCCCTTCAAAAAGTTTTATAAAGAAAAATTTAAGTGCCAATGTAGTGAAAGAAAGTTAAAAATTCCTAAAGATGCAAGTCTGAGTGCATTTATCAGGTTAAGAATATATTTCAAGGTCGGGGGCAAGGCATGACTGATGCACATTCAAGAAGAAAAGTCTCGTGGAATCCATAAGGTAAGTAGAGTTCTCTGGAGCACGTTTAAAAATGAAGGTATATTAAACTCAGACTATCCTGAATGAGATTCCAAAGTATGTGGAGTTCTATAGCTGAAATCTATTTCATAGTGGCCAATAAATAATTAAGACTAACTTTTCAGCAAACTGTTTTTTCATACATTCAAACACAAAAATCTTTACCACACATGCAGAGCTGATATTCTAAAACAGCGCAGGTATGAATCCTGGTTTCAGAAAAACACATTAACAAGGATTTTTTTTCCATTTTTTTTCCATAGGTTCCCGTAGAAATCTTCAAAGAGGGGATAAGTTTAGATTTCCTACTGATTTTGGAAGAAAGGAGATTCTGTTTTTCCTAAGGAAGCCAGTCATCCATGAGCAGGAGACGTGTCTTCAGAATCTAAGAAGTGTAATGTCCCTAATGCTTAAACTCATGGCAAGTCCAGATCCAGAAAAACTGGCAGGTAGAACAGGGGATGGAAATGAAAAGTTCAAATGTCTATAGTATACTTTGGAAATATTGGCCTCGTAAGTTAAAATGGCTCAACTGCCTGCAGAATGAAGTGCTACAGGACTGGAGGAGACCCGGTTCTCTGGAGTAGGAGCTGGGAGAGACCCCCATCTCCAGGGACCCTCTGGGCAGGGCTGTGACCTTGTTTTTTCATGAGTGCTTTCAGTTGGAGAATTTATATGACTTTGCCCAGATAAAGCTTCCTTATGTTACTTTTTCTCTAAAATTGGTTGGTCAGGCAAGTTACTGGTGATTTCCCAAAATGAAATCTAGCTGTACTAGAATCTTAAGGTGCCAGCTAATTTAAATTAATGCCCCTCAGTAACGCTGCTGGGTATCAACCACTATTGCTGAAGAATCAACCCCCAAATGACCTAAGTAATCTATCACACTAGGTGCTTCTACTGTCTTGGGTTTTTTGAGCTTTAGAGAGATAGTCTTTGTAATATGACTTAGAAACTGCTTCTCTCTGGCTTTGTTTCATTCTTCCTCCTCTTCTTCCCCTTCTCCTTCTCCTTCCTCCATGGTTTCCACAATGAGCTCTGCTGTGCAGGTGGCTTCTCCAAGACTGTTGACAGCCTTGCAAGTGTACTTGGCATCATCATCCCCGCAAACATCACTAATGATTAAAGAGCAGTTCCCATCCTCATCATAGTCTATCTGGAAGTGGCGGGACTCCCTGATTGACTGGTCATCTTTGAACCAGACGACCTCAGGGTCTGGGTATCCTGTATCATAGGGAGGGAACACAAGTTGCAGAAACTATTATTTAAAACTTATTATCAGTTCATGCAAACTCTTGAGCTACCTCTATTGATTAAGGGGGTAAAGGGAAAAAAAATTATGATGTTGGCTTTTACCATCTATTTTGATATTTACATTTGAATAGGGGCATGTATTGTAAACACTAATATCTGAAACGCCACATAAGGTATTGTACAGGCATCCCGTTCCCCAGCCATGTAAGGCTTGTACCACCTCCCACCTTAACACAGATATAGCTAACTCCCCGGAACACTGTCCCAGTTCCAACCACATGCCTGGAGCTAAATATCTTCTTGGATTAAAAGAAAACTTTTTTTAATCTTGTATAAAAGAACTTAAATAAATTTAAATAAATAAGAGTTAGAAAAAATGGGCACAAGGGATCTTTTGGGGGTGATGGAAATGTTTAAAAATTGGATTGTGGTAATGACTGCACAATTCTGTATATTTCTAAAAATAATTGAATTGTATACTTAAAATGGGTGAATTTTATGGTGTATAAATTATAATTCAAAGATGATAACAGACCTGTAAAACATAAATTAGGGGAACTGACAATACTGCTAGGAAAAAGAAAGCAGTATTTGTCTTAGTTTGATCCAAAGACAGACTCATTCGTCTCATTTTATGCATTAGTCATGTTGCTGCAAAGTTCAGCATTAAAATATATGTTTTATGTCTTTAAAAACATAATAATACTAACTGACTGGTTTTTAAACTTTGGAGAAGTAGTTTTACAGGACAAAATTGTAGCCCCAGCTAGAATACAAATTACACATAAGAATTCTAACATTCTTTTCGAGTAGAATTTTGCTTTTAACGAACAGCATCCATATGCTTTACTTTCTCCTCAGCATCCAAAGTGATGCAAATACCAAGATAATAATCCCAAAGAGAAAAGTAAGCAAAAAGATAATTATTATGAAATAATATTTTCTAAAAAATAAAGGAAAAAGTAAAGAACTTAAGACCCAAAGACAGCGGTGATGGTGAGAGCTACAAGCAGTGGCCCAGGACTCTCAGCAGAACCCCCAATCTGAGCACTTCCACACTAGCAAAGGCAGCACATCCACTTTTTAAAAAAAATTGAATGAAAAAAGAGAAAGATTATGGTAGGCGAGGCATTTATAAGGCATCTTGGTAATATAGTGATGCAGGAGAAAAATTGTTTTTTCATTCCTACCTTTGGGTTACTTTACCCAAAAGGCATTATCTAGCCATACTGCTGGAGAATCTTACAAAGTGGGAGGCATGGTTCGTTATCACTGCTGTCCTGTGCTATGCTGCCTTGGGGAAGTTGTTCTGACCGAAATGGGAGATAGCCCTCCACTCTGGTTGGCACACAACAGTCACAGACCTGAAGCAAAGAGGCCTGTCTTATCTTGCCACTTATCTTTCTAGAATGTTGCAGTCTGTTGAGACTGAAATGCTATGTGTCACCAACACTGCTAACTTCTCAGGTGCTATGCTAAGATCCCTTAGGGTCCCTTGAGCTCTAACAACTCATTCTGGCCACGTTATTTCTAGCAGGCAGAGAAACATGGGGAAGACAGCACAAGGGCCTGGATCCCAACTTCCCTCAGTTTGAAGTCACACCGCAGGCTGTCTCTGCACTTACCAGATCCACAACTTTTCCCTTGACTCCATGACATCTTTAAAAGACTTGAAAGGTTTCCCCTTTCCACATGTTATCTCACAGTCTCCAGAGCCACTCAAGGCATTAGACACTGTCTTACAGATGAGGACTAGAGGCTCAGAAGAGCTGAATCACCGCCCAAGGTCACAGAGCCCAGTGATTAACAGCAGAGCTGCCTTCTCTGCATCCTATGCTCTGTGCCAGCCTTCCTTTGAGAGCCTTTGGTGGGCAGTTCACATGCTTCCCATAAGCTTGCAAAGCTCATTTCATTAAGCACATTCCATAGCCAAATAGGTCCATGATAAACCACTTTTAACTTGGGTGTAGTGGCTGATGTAAGTAGGTGAAATATCCGGTGTGCCCTCAGTGAGTCACTGAATGGCCCTAATCTTAAGCAAGTAGAGTGGGGCAGTGGGCCAACTCCTCCTGACCCATTTTCCCTCACAGCCTGGCTGCCCCAGAACTGACATTCTGCCAAGGGCACACAGTAGGGGCCCACCAGCCAACCATACCCCTTTTGTAGGTAAGGGAAGAACAGCTACAAACTTACCTTCGATCTTGCAGTCAAATCTAGCAGCACTTCCCTCCACAACTTCTAAATCACGAATGGTCTTAGAAAAGTAGGGTTTTACATGGGGCTTTTCCTCAGCGACAGCCTCAAGGAAAGCTTGGGAGACATCTTCTAGAAGACGGGGAAGAGGACATGGTAATTTCTTTATTCCTTGTTCTCTCCTCTTCCCTGGTTTAAAAAAGCTGACTTCTTTTTTTCTTTTTTAAGTTGTTATAATTTAGCAAATAATGGCGCTTAGAGGACTGAATCATAAGCACACCTTTCTCCTGGGGACTGGCTGGCCTGCTGCCAAATGATTTTGGCAGAAGAGAGAACTGTGACCAAACTGGGGAAATGTTTGGACTCCCTCCCTTATGCTGACACACTGAAAAAGGAAATAATCTTTAAAAAAGTTATCTGGCTGCATTTCATGCTGCTTCAGGATTCAGTTGAGGGTATTGAAGAAGGACGGAAGCACGCCATCCCACCTGATCTCTGTACCCCCTCTGCCCTCCTCTGGAAGCAGCAGGCCTTCATCTGCTCCTTGGAAGGGAAGAGCCAGGTCCTAGAGGCATCTGCGATTTGCCAATAGCTCTATTCTCCACACGGATACTGCCTTCACAGTGTATGACTCTGGACCAGGGTTTGGGATTGGTCCAGGGAAAAGCTGTAACTTTGAGTGGCTCCTGATCCTCTCCTTCCCCTTCAGGCTATTTCTGGGTCACCTGGAGAGTGGCAGGGCTGGAGCAGGAGGGACCAGGCCCATGTGCAGCAGTCTCGGTCCCCGGCTGCATCAGAGCAGCTCAGCAAGCAGCCTCACCGATTACCCTGTCTTATGCACAAAGGGAGCTAGACTCAGCTTCTCACCTTTGGATACGAAAAGCATCAGGCAGTGGGAGGTGGAGGAGTGTCTCAGGCCAAATGAGGCACCTCAGGATAAGGGCCAGACCCTACATGCATCTGAAGCAGGAAGAGGCCAAGGCCTTCACTGAGGAGATGGATGGGGCAGCATCTCAAAGACGGTGGGCAAGTAACTAACCCTGTTGGTGTCTAGGAGGGGCCCTGCCAGTCACTGTCTACCCAGTTCAAACGACATATTCCAGCATCATGAAAAATACCAAACAAATATGGACTATATGAGTCAATTTTTGTTTAAAAGGAAAACGCAAAGACACGTTAAAAAAACGGATATTTTTAAAAAGTACACTGCTATATGTGATTTTTATTTTATGTTTGCCTGTTATACAAGCATCGCTTTTGTAATGAGAAAAACGAAACTTTTAATAAAGCCTTTGCTAATTCTTATGTAAAATATAGGGAAAAGGTTAGTGGAGATCATCTAGTTCTATTAGACAAATAACTCTCCTTCTGAAAATAGTTAAACCTAAGGTGAAACAATTAAAGAATACTACATTTAATAATTATTGTCAGGGCAGTGTAAAAGTAGTTTCAAATTTTTCCTTGTAGATTGTATTATTAAAAAACCCAATCCCCCCACCTTAAGAAAAAAAAAACCTCTAAATGCCTGTCCATCCCCCATCCCTTCCTTTGTCACCATCGGGCTGGAGAAAATCTTCCTGGAGCTCCTTACCTTCAGATTCTAGTTTTTCTGCATTGAGTGGGCTGGTTGGTGACCCTGTTGAAGATTTCCTGCCACTGAGCCCTGAGATCATTGCCATAGAGGAGAGTCTTCCAATGGCTCTCACAGCATTGCCCGTTTTCTGGAAAATAGACACTGGCGTTGGACTCAGGCGGTGTCACTGGTTCCAGCTGGGCAGCGGGGCTCAGGGAAAAGAGCCCAGCCCAGGAGAAGCAGCTGTCCTTGAAACAAGGGCCTCCTGCGTGCCGAGGTTCTGCAGAGGAGTGAGCCCAACCTTGCTCTGCTCAGCACTATCAGCGTGTCAGAAGATGTTCGGAGAATGGAATGGGGCCTGGAACCGATGTGTGCGTTAATGTGACTAAACAAGGTCAACATGAGACAAAAACCCTTTTCATACTGTGCTTCAACTCCCATAAAAGGGATAGTTTATATAAAGCAACTGCAGGCTGAGACGGCTCCAAAGACTTAACTGCTGACAGGGCCCAGTGGAGGCTGTTTCTCATAAAACAATGCTAGTGATAGGATTTTAATTGGCCAAGAGAATAGTTACTACGGATCCCACAGGTCCCGCTGGGAAAAGAGAAAAAAAAAAAAAAGGCCTTCTATTGACCATAGGCAAGTCGCTTAACCTCCCTGGGCTTCAGTTTCCTTCTCTGTATAAGGAGGGGGTTGGACAGGATGATCTCCAAGGTCTCATTTAGTTCTATTTATGATTCAGATACTTAAAGAGATTTCGAGAAATACTCTGGCTGGCCCCAGCACAAGTCTACAGTTCTTCCCTGATGTACACCCAGCATCAAAAAGCAGCACCCAAAGAAATGAAAAGCACAGCACTTTGCTTTTCTTAGTCAAGGCACCTTGGGAGAGGACAGAATTTTTACTGAAAAAGATGCCAGGACTTGAAAATTTTCTTTGCATTGTGAAAATTCTACCAAGCATAGGATTTAGGTCAAGAAGTCCCCAATTATACACATTGTGTCTGTGTTTCTCACCTTTAAGTAAAGATTCTCACCCCTTTTCTAAGGTCAATGGAATGACTAAGATAAGAAACTAAGGCATAACCACTGCTTTCCAGCCCTGCACCCAAAGCGTCTTTTGAGGCATCCAGACGCTGTGCACCACAGACTAGCTGCTGAGAGAGGAAGGAAACAGCCTGACAAGGGACAGGCTAGTTCTCTAACCACTCATTACTCTGCTAACGTGTGCAAATCACTTCCCCTCTCTGGGCCTCACTGTTGGACCTGAAGATTCAAATCTCCCTGCAGCTCTAGTCTTCTACAGAAAGACTGTGATTCAGACACGCAAATGTCTAGCAGGGAACGCTCCCCTTGAGCCCATGGGCTCCCTAATCCCAAACACCTGGATGCAGGACTGTCTCCACTTGTATGGTGTGGAAGAATGAAGTCTTTCCTCTTCTGTTAACAAAATGACTAATAGGAAGCTATGAGAACAAGGCAAATCAAAGCGTTACAATATTTCAGAGAAGGTGGCAAATAACAAACGAATAGACCACACATTGGGGGAAATTTTCCATCAGATGGAGCAATAGACCATATAATTTCTAAAACAGGAAGAAATGTAAGTGCTCAACAGGGAAAATCTTAATAACCCACACATCAGAGGTCAATCTTTGGAAGCTGCTTCATGGGAAAAACTAGTTGGTGGGGAAGTTATTTGTCAGAACTATATGTTCTAGCCTTCCAGTTTCATGCCTTTGAGCTGAAAATTGGTTGCTGCTTTACTAACTGAGACCTTTGGAAATTTTTAAAACATCAAAAAAGAAAGATTCAATTCTTGATAAGTTCCATTCTTGTCTTGAGGAGGCCTTTTTCTTGTTGGAGGGCAATTTGCCAAGGCTGGGTTCCTGTGTTCCAGGCGGGCAGGGTCTGTAACGGCTTCCCTAACAGAGCACAGACTCCCTCCCCTGGGAGAGCCAGCGAGGGTGACTAACCAGCCTGGTTTCCCAGGACTGAGGGATTGCCCAGGATGAGGGGCTTTCAGGGATAAAGCTGAGAAAGGCCCTGGAAAACCTCGGCAAGGTGATCACCCTAGAGCCAGCCAGCCATCATGGGCCCTACATAAACACCAACAGCCCCAAGACTACAATTTCCCCTGAGAATGCGTATTATCTAAATGTGATGGCCAAGAGTACTCCGTGCTATACTGAGTCAAAAGCTTTCTTCCCCAAGGCCCTTTGGTCCATACTGCTGAAGTCTTTGTGGTTCTCAGAGAATAAAGATGGCTGCCCACAAGCCTCCAATTCCTAGTCCTTTGCTTCCATTTTGCATGCAGAGGCCCTGTTATCCTGCTCAACTTACCCACCCTCAATGCTATTACCACCACGTCTCTTCAACATTCTTTTGATATAAATAAAAAACCTACCCTCTTTCAGAATAACTTCATTCTAAAATCAATAATACAATGAGTCATCTATCTATTGCTTGCTTGTTGGGGCTTGTTCCCATGTTACTTCCTTCCCCTTTTATGAAAACCACACCAGGGGCTTCCCTGGTGGCACAGTGGTTAAGAATCCGCCTGCCAATGCAGGGGACATGGGTTCGAGCCCTGGTCCGGGAAGATCCCACGTGCCACACAGCAACTAAGCCCATGCACCACAACTACTGAGCCTGTGCTCTAGAGCCCATGAGCCACAACTACTGAGGCCACGTGCCACAACTACTGAAACCCCCGCGCCTAGAGCCCCTGTTCTGCAACAAGGGAAGCCACCGCAATGAGAAGCCCACGCACTGCAACAGAATAGCCCCCGCTCACTGCAACTAGAGAAAGCCCGCGCGCAGCAACGAAGACCCAACACAGCCAAAAATAAATTTAAAAAATCCTTAAGAATGTCATAAGCTTTAAAAAAAAAAACTACACCAGAATGATAGCAAGGAAGCTTTTCTTATGCAGCTGTAGAGCGCTGTGGGCCCCCTGTGCTTGCCCTGGCCCTCTCCCTCCACAGCACACCCCATTCTATCCCCCTCCACTCCACTCCGCCTCAGCACACAGAACCTCAGCTGCTCTCAGAGGGAACCCCCTATTCCAGGGGTGCTAAGGTCCTGGTATCCAGAGTTTAAAATGTGGAAAACATTTTCCTAAGGAGGAGATGTAACACAAGGTGGTCAGATGCAGCCGAACTATTACCAGTGACAATATGCTTCAGGGACATTATGTGTTGAATGGGATTTTGCAGACTACTTTTCTATGTAATTTTGTGAAACATAACCACTGTTTCTGTGGAAAAGCCATTTCCAAATGCTGCTACCTATATTAAAATAGGAAATTAATGTTCCTTTTCTGAATTCTGTCCTTTCCCTTCTCACTTTCAGAAAACCTTATGGCTGATAACACTGTAAACAACAAGAAAAAAATGTGATTCAGATATCACCACAAATTATGGTTTCCGGACACATCTGACTGAAAAATTCCATTTATTTCCTCTCCCATTTCCTTATCTCTTCTCTGCGCCTATCCCCTGGGTTTAGGCTCTTCCTGGCTTTGGTTCACCAGCAGATGTGTGGATGCCTCCAGAAGCCTGAAGTAATAAGGCTGCCCTTTAGCCCACGGCCTCATCCAACCAAAACCCAGTGCAATTCCCTCCTCTGAGAACTGCCCCACCCCCATACCAGTCACCGTATCTGCTCCAGAAATACCGCTATTTCTTTGAGATCTACTGGCCACAGGATCATTAATAAAGCCAACCTTTGATTTTGTGGTCCTCTTGTGGCTTTGTTTTTTTTTAAAGAATATTTGCTCCTCTGATTTCACTGGACCCTAATGGCACCAGAGGGTAAGGTAAGCGGCACACGTGTTCCAACTCACCAGGTACTTGACAGAGGCCAGGAGATCCACCCAAACCTTCAGGCGGGGCTAACCAAGAACTGACTCCCACTTCGGGGAGGCCGCTGAGATGTGCAGGGGGTGAAGTCTCTCAGACCCACACACCCGAAGCCCCTCTCTCACCTTTGCTCCTCTCAACCTTTGTGTGAACTTGGACTTTTCAGTGAACTGCGGTTTAGTCATTCTGTGTGGCAAATCACCAGTGTCCCAGTTGCCCCTAAAATGGTGGTTTCCTTGTTCTCTGCCACAAAGGCAAGGTCCAAATGCCCCAGTCCCCTGAATGCCCAGCTAAAAGACTGCTCCTGTCAGGCCAGCATGATCAGGGTGAGGTCCAGTTCCCACCTCTGCGCCTTTTCCTCCGTCTGTGCTGTTATCCCCTCCTCTCTGTGCTCTACTCATGTTCCATGGCCAACTTCAGACTCCTGTCAGACTCACATCCACCTCTGGTGTGACTGGTTCCATTCTCTGTCCGCACTCACATATATGGGAATGGAGAGCTATAGTGAACATTTATAATTCTTGGTGTGTGTTATGTCCTTTTATGTCTATTTGCTTCAGGTCCCTGTTACACTGTACATTCCTTGAGTATAGAAACCATGCACCCTCCAGTAGCCCAGGAATTTTATAATACTAGTAGTGATAATAGAAATAAAATAGATCATGATAAGTTCTCTATGGTTTTGGATGATCATTTTCTCCATCTGCTAACAATCAGAGGCGATTTGTGTCATTAAACTGTGTGCTGTTAAGACTCTGTACGCTGGAGCCAGTCTCTGGGTTTGAATCCTGGCTTTCCCACTTACTAGCTGTGACCCTGGGTGACCTTCCTAACCTTTCTCTGCTTTGTTTGTCTGAGAACTGGGGATAACAATAGTACCTGCCTCCCAGGATTAAAAAACTACATAGAGAGTGCTTTGAATGTTCCCTATACGTGGCCAGCCCTCCATACATATTGGCTACCGATCTCATCTGTGAACACTTACTATGTGCCAGGCCATGTGCTAAAGGCCAGATGAATATTCTCTCATATAATTCTCACAACAGTGAGAATCTCACAAAGATTTGGTACCACTAATATCCCCATTTTATAGATGAAAAAACGAAGGCACAGCAAGGTTAAGTAACTTGGCTAAGGACATGTAGCTAGTAACATGCAACCTCTCTATGTCTCTCCCATGTCTCTCTTTGTGGAACATGTGCCCACCTCCTTCACTGTAAAGAAATGCAAGACCATCACGCTACCTATAAGGAGATCACATTCTCCAGGGCTGCCAAATAGTCCTAAAGGTGACATTGCTCGTCCCTAGTCACGAAGACATGGAATGTCAGTCTTGGTCCCAGACTATTTCAGAAACAAATGTAAACATTTTTGGAGTGAGGCCAGGGCAAGTTGGGAATGAGGGTAGCTTGAATAAAGCAATTATGAGGGGCGACATCCCAGTCCAAAGTGACCCCTCATTACCTGCCATTTTCTTCTTGCCATGTACTTCTTCATCCGGTCCTTGGAGAGTTTCTTGGCCTCCATGTTCTTGGTGTCTTTCATTAGCCATGTATGCTGAAGGCACTGGGTGCAGTCCAAGCGGTTTCTAATAGAGGCAGAGATCAGAGGGTTTCTGAGCAGAAGGGGACCACAGAGACTGCTGGTCAGATCAGAAACGGGAGGTCACCTGTCCCTAGTTACACAGGGCAGAGCCCAGGGCTGTCTGCTCCCAGTCCATCCACCATGGTGAGAATCACTGTGCTCTTGGCCTTTTTCCTCTCTTGGTCTGGGTTACACTGACTAGACCCAGAATACATTAGTGTTGAGAAAGCCTAAACACCAGTAAGCAACTGGAGTCTCATGACCTGCCCTTGGGGTCTAGGGAGGCTAAGTGCTGGAGGGCAGACATGTCTGGGAATGACTGGCACCGTATTCCAGGGTGGGGTCATTCTGCTGGTCACGTGGGGGCTGGGAACTGTGGAGGCCCGATCCTTCTGCCTCCTTGTCTGATGGAGAGAAGAGTGAAACCTTAGGCCCAAACCTTCGAGAATCAGTGAACTCTCAAATCTTATGGTGTGGTTGAGTATCAGGTTTTTCCCATTAAAACTCAGAGATCACATTCTCTGGGCCTGGGGTCACAGCCTAACTGGCCAGTGGTGGAAGGTACCTGGCCATACTCAGGCAGGCAGCTCCTACATGAGCTAGATACAAAATAAGCATCCAGCTTTGTACAACCTATGAATTATGACAACCTTAGAACTGCACTGAAACTCATTTAATCTTCTGAAAGCTCTGGGAATCTAGAAATATTTCAGGGCCATCACCTTAATTGTCATAGGACTAATGAAGCCCAAAATACCAAGTGCTAACATGTGTAGAAAAATGAGTAAAAGTAAATTTGCTAACTATAGCAAATGTAGTGGTCTTTAGATAAGGGGATATGGATTATTTTAATTTTCTTATATTCAAAGTTTGTACAACTTACATGTATTAACTTATAATAGAAAAACATTTTTTAAAGTGCTGATAGATGGAGATTTCTGGTTGAAGAGATGCTGAGTTTGAGTTTATGGGAATCTAGTGTCTTGATCTATATGAAATCAATTTTTGGTGAGTCCATTTTACGAGCACAGAGAAGCCAACACGTTTCTGAATAAACTCAAGGTCAGGTGAGAAAATAGGGTATACACACAATACCTCATTTACCACATCTTGGGTGAATGAAGCCTGGTTGACAGAAGCCATCCTTGGACCAGAGTTGTTAGGAAGGAGATCCGCACCTCCCTGAGGCACCTGGGGAGCGGGGACCCATCACACGGGAGGGGCATCTCGGCCCCCCGCAACATCTAGATCCTCCTTGGGTCACGCCTGCTTCTGAGGTGAAGACTGGGGCAGCAAAGTGCTAAAAAGACCTCGCTGTCAAGGAGTGTGGAATGTCTCCTCTGGAGGAGTTTGGCCCTGAGCTGGCTAAAAAGGACTGAGAGGTGGGTGCGTAACCAGAAAACCAGACCGAACCACTTAAGAGACCCTCTAGCCTCACTCCTTTAGCAACTGTGCTCTCATGTCCCAGACAGGATTTCCCCGAGAGGGGGCAAGACGACCGACAGCCTCACAGGGGTCTGCGGGCCAGGGAGACAGGGTAGAACCTAGGCCACAAAGTCCCCTTGGTGCACATGCAGAGCCTCTGGGCTGACTCCTCCCGCCTTCCTCCGGCACGCCACCCGTTTCAACACCACCTTCTGGGGAAAAGCTTACAGCTGCTTGTATTGCCAAATACGACTCCCCGGGGCCCCTGGAGCCAGGCCTTGCCTCATCTGGCCACCTGTTCACAGAGTGGGTGAGGCGGCCGACAGCCCGTGGCCCCCCGCCGACACCCCACCACTCCCTTGCCCTGCTGCAGGCCGGCCCTCCTGGCACGTGCACGGCCCCTCTCCATTTCCTACCGTAACGGTAGCTGCTTCCCCTCGCCAGTGAATTCTCTCCAGCCACACCAAGACCCCCTCAACCTCCCCTCCTCTGCTCTAGCCTCCTCTACTGCTCCCACCTCCATCCTCTTCCCCCTGAAATACTGACTGAGCACCTTGGGCGTCTGACCTTTCCTCACAGCCTTAGGCCGTCTATATGCCTGAACACTCAGGCCTCCTGACGTTCACAGATGTTCTTTATTGTCATCTGCTGACCACCTGGGCAGCTCCAGGCAGCCCCAGAAGGTGGAGGAGAGAACCTCACAGTCTGCACGGTTGCAGGGGACAGAGATGGAGCTGGGCCCAGTGGCCTGGGGTCACAGCCTAACTGGCCAGTGGTGGAAGGTACCTGGCCACACTCAGGCAGGCAGCTCCTACATGATCTAGATACAAAATAAGCATCCAGCCAGAATAGCTAGGAGTATGGTCAGGACCGGCAAACAGGGTACCTCCCCTGCAAGCCCCAGAAGGGGGGCTGAGGTTTCCGCAGGGCGGCTGCAGGCCACAGCTGTACACGGAAAATAAAAGGGGCTGTCGTTATTCACACACAAGCTGCCTCATTCCGTCAACAGGCAGTCAAGCGCTGCTTTTCAGGTGAGGTTTCTGTGCTTCGAAAGACAGGAGAGTGTCGGGCACCAGGGAGCAGGACCCTCGCGCACGCAGTGCCCATCCTCCCCTCCTCGGGTGCGGAGGGGCCCACGACAGGGAAAGAGAGTCCCTGCCTCTGGACCCCAGTCCGGGGAGTGGGGAGGCCGAAAAAACTGAAATCGCGACCCATTACTTCATATCTTTCTTTAGCAAGCTGCTGATAAAGTCCTTGGCGTCATCGGAGATCTCATCGAAGGCCTCGTCGTCAAAGTCCCAGGTGGCTGAGGTGACGTTGGCTAAGGTTTCATTATCGTTGTCACCCATGAAGGGGGACAGTCCACTGACCCTGGGGGAGGAGAGAGGAGAGCAGTGAGTGGGGGAGGCCAGCAGGGAGGGCGGTCCCGCCAGGGGAGCGCTCCCTGAGGTCAGAGGTGAGAGCGCCCCACACGCCCCCACGCCTGCCTCCCCTCCCACCCAGGAGAGAAGGGGGCGTGGCTCTCAGCCTCTGCCCGCTGGCTCACTCACTGTACTTCTGGGGTGTCGCCCGCCTGTTGACACCACCTGCCTGTGAAGCTGAGGCGGAAGGACTTTTCTTCAGTTTACCACTTCCACACAGCACTGCAGGGCCTTCCTCCCTGCCTTCTGTTCTTCCCCAACACCCAGGCGAGAACTTCGCCCTGCAGAACCTTCTCCAAGGTCCTGGGGGGAGGAATGGCCTCCTTCGCAGGGCTCCAGGCATGCGTGCGCGCGCACACACACACACACACACACACACACACCCGTGGACTGGTCACGTGGTACAGCACTCATCACTGCACCCTGTCCCGCCCTCCCACCTCTCACCATCAGCATCAAGAACAGGGCCAGCCCAAGTGGGGCTCGGCAAGGGTGTGTCCACGAAGGGTGGACCATCTATACTTGACGTCAATGCGCCTGAGGCATTTAGGCCAAACCAGAAAACTTCCCTCAGAGGAACCATGGCCTGTTCATTCGCTGGGTGACCTTGGACAATTCCCCTCATCTCTCTGTGTCAGCTTCCTCCTCTGTTAGATGGACAACCTGCTACTTGGAGTGGTCACCACTGCCACCTCTCCCTGTTCTCCTTCTCCTGTGTCCTCATTCTCATAACAGCAGACATCTATCAAATGTTCACTATGTGCCATGCACTGGGCAGAGAGCTAAAACAGATGGACTCATTCAGTCTTAACACCACCCTTTAAGGCAGGTAACTCATTACTTCGTTTAACAGATAAGGAAACTGAGGCACCAAGTGGGGGTAAGTAACTTGCTCAAGGATTTGCAGTCAATGAGCCTATTTCTTTTTTTTCTTTTTCTTTTCTTTTTTTTGCGGTACGCGGGCCTCTCACTGTCGCGGCCCCCCCTTTGAGGAGCACAGGCTCCAGACGCGCAGGCTCAGCGGCCATGGCTCACGGGCCCAGCTGCTCCACGGCATGTGGGATCCTCCCGAACTGGGGCACGAACCCGTGACCCCTGCATCGGCAGGCAGACTCTCAACCACTGTGCCACCAGAAAAGCCCAATGAGCCTATTTCTTAACCGCTAATTTGTACAGTCATTTCTAGGAAGATGAAGTAAATCACAGCGTACAGCACTGGCAGGAGGCCTGGTCTGCAGTACGGAGCTTGGTCTGTGACCATAGCTATTATGCAGTTCTTCTGTACACAGTTCACCCCCACTGCCCCATCAATCTGTGATCTCTGGAATGACTCACTTACCAATAGCTTAAGCCAAATAAAATTTGGAAGGTAAAGTATCTCAATGCCGAACGGAGCAGACGTCTGGCTTACTGGCCTCACTTCTCACCTCTGGCGGGCACCTCATCTTCCCCCCAGCCGTGCAGCCCGCCACTCACCCTGACCTAGGGCCAGCTTCATGGGCCTTGGAAGAGCCCCACTCTTGGCTTCATGCTCTGCTGCCATCATTTTGAAATTCTTAATGTTTACACAAGTCACCCCACCTTTTTGTGCTGCACTGGGCCCTATGATTTATGTAGCTGGTCCTGCCCTGTCCCCACCTGAGCCCCATGAGATGGATCTAGGGCCCTCATGCCATCAACCTTCCAAGTTAAGGCTTCACTAACAACCCTTTCCCCAAATCCCTCATCATAAACAATAATGCAAACCCCTCGGGAGCTGTTTTGGCATCCAAGAGGCATCAGCTTATGAAATACACTCGGCCCTGAAAACTAAGTTTTGTAAAACAAAATCTATTGAAATATTGCAAGGAAAGCTTGCCATGGGAGGAACCCTCTGGTGAAAATCTTCATTAAAAAGAAGAAAAAGAGCTTTTTCAGTGTGAATTATCTCACCCTAATCAACATATTTGTGCTTTTGAATAAAAGAGTTTTATAGATGGCATTAAAATATCTTAAAGCAAGACACCCATTTATGTTCTCAGAGGGCATGGAGATAATCATTCTCGATCATATCACAATGAGGGAAGGGTGGGACCTCACCAGGCCAGAGTCTGTGCTGTTATATGCTATTCCTTTCCCCTCTCTGGGCCTCAGCTTCCCCCCTTATACACCAAGGGTACTGGACTAGAATTCCTAGGGGCTCCCAGGAAGCCCATAGGCTTAACTAGTCCCATCAAGAAGCAGCCTGACTCTTGCTTGCCAGCTACATGCTTCATTCTGTCTCTGCACTTTCCATTTGAAACAAAGAGGGGAAGTCCTACAGCACTCCAAGAGATCGCCGGGAGGGGGGGGAGGGGGCAGGGAAGTAAACAACCCTGCTGTGGAATGCTGAAAGGCTGCCTTCTGTAAACCTCCTTTCCTAATTAGGAACTGTCATCCTACAAAGATAGGGCTTAATCTCTGTGATGTTCATAGTTGGGGAGAGCCTCCTCTCCTCTGGCCCCTGGCACTCCTCCTTCCTGGCAGCCCATCCATCTGAAATCCCTCCCAAGCCTTGGCTGGCTCCTCACCTGCCCCACCTCCCCCAGCATTCCCCCTGATAAACAGTACGTCTCTAAAATAAAAAATATGCAGAGCCTGACGATGAAGACAGTATTCGAATTTTAGTAACGCCTTTCCGTGGTGGTGGGATTTTGCAGAATTTTTAAACTTCCTTTCTTGTACTTTTTCTTTATTGCTAGAATTTGCATAGGATCATATATGGTTGGGTTGTTCAACCCAATTAACAAACATAGTAACCCTAGCATTAAAAACACAGCTACTCACCTCTTTTCCTAGTCTTACCTAGGGTTTTAACTGAAGGGGATCAGAGTATACCTCCCCAAAATATGAACTTGGGCATAAAAATTGCCTTGAGCTGAAGGCAATTAGCCCTTTGTCCTCCCTTTTTCTGTCTAAAAGCAGGACATAAATTTCTCTTTGTTAAGGTGACATAAATTTCCATTTGTTCTATTTGTCCATTTCTTCTCTTCCCAGGAAGAGGAGAAAGACTGTCATCTGCATATTAGATATCGCCGAACAGTCCCTATACATTTCCTAGTCACCTTGTCACAATTTACTCCCTCCAGAAGCTCCAAACCCTTTTTCCCTCGTCTAGTTATTTCTGTATAATTTATCACTCTTTGTTAAAGTAGTATATAAGCCCCAAATTTTAAAGGTAACTTGAGTCACATTTCTTTATGAACACCTGTGCATATGTACATAATTAAATCTGTTTTCTTTTTGTTAATCTGTCCTTTTAAAAAAAAATTTATTTATTTGGTTGTGCCAGGTCTTAGTTGCTGCATGTGGGCTCCTTAGTTGTGGCATGTGAAGTGTTAGTTGCAGCACGCATATGGGATCTACTTCCCTGGCCAGGGATCGAACCCGGGCCCCCTGCATTGGGAGCGTGGAGTCTTAGCCACTGTGCCATCAGGGAAGTCCCGTTAAACTGTCTTTTGTCAGTTTGACTTGCAGACCCCCAAGAACTGAACCAAAGAGGTAGAGGAAAGTGTTTTTCTCCCCAACATAACCAGTGAATTTGTCTGGTTTTCACAAAATTGTCATCAGTGTGGGCAAGTTCTTGGATGGTCTACTTTTTCCTCACTTGACATTGTCTTTCACAAGTGTATACAGAGTCTCAATGTTCATTTTTAATGGTTAAATATTAGTCTTTGTGCTAATGAGTCAACTAAGGACATGACTGCAGGGTGTTCTAATTTCTTAATCTCTTACTGCAGCCAAACCTCACCAGGGAATCTGATGCGGGGGCGTGTTCTGCTTGGAGGACAGAGCATGAGGAGACAGAAGGCAGAAATGCCTCTTGAATTACACTTTCTCTGTGGTGCTTTTTAAGCAGATGATTCCACTGCATGAATGGCCAGCAAAGGAGGCCATACATCTTCCAGCAGAACTGCTGAGCGCTTAGGAAGGGGTTAGTATTTTATCCCATTTTATCCTTGGGATGCTCATTCCCTGGTGTGGTGGGAAGATTTGAGAGGGCTGGTCAGGCCCCACAGGAAGAGCTGGGCATCGTTTTGTGCAGTAGCCTAGGAAAGACAGACCCAGGGTTTAGTCATGTTAACCACAGCCCAAGTCCCTGGAGAGCAAAACCTGCGGGTGGTGTCTGGGCCTGGTGTGGATGTGGGGTGCCTGGAGGTCTCAGGACCTGCAATAGAGAGCATGTCTGGACTCAGCAGCTAAGAGGGAAGAAGCAGCCCTGGGTGGAGCTGCTGGATCCCTCTGAAGAGCCCTGCATCCAAATCTGAGTCTGAGTAGGTACCTGATGCTTGGGCCCTGGGACTTCTCCCCAGCTCACTAGGCTGCTGTCCCCAGAAGGTAGATTCCAGACGGGGATGGACCTGCCTCGCTGGACCATGGTACGTGCTCACAGATGAGCTGAGATGGGACGTCTGCAGCTGAGCACAGCAGGAAGATGGTAGGGAGGAGGAGGAGGAGAAAGCAGGGCAGCAGCTTGGGGGAGGGGAGGAGGAGAAGGAATTCTGGGGTAGGGGTGAGGGCAGGGCACAGAGAAGGGTTTTGGTGTCTCCACAGGCAGTAAGGGAACAGCAAGTCCTAAGGAAATGGGGGGAGGGAGATAAGAGAGGGAAGGAGGTCTTAGAAAAGGAGGCGGGGCTTAGAATTTCTTCACCGTTGAAGTGTGGCCTAGAGAGCCTGGTCCTCTCTCTTCCTGCCAGAAACCAATGGGTATTGGTAAGAGCAGAAGTCTCCAGCAGATCCACGAAACCTGCTTCTCCCTTCAGAATCAGGGGTGAGAGGGTAAGGGGCCCCCAACCCCACCTGCTACATCTCTACCCTGCCTGGGGACCCTGGGCAGGCAGTGGAGCCAGGTCTCCTGTACCGTGACAGGCTCTGCCCCGATCCCTCCGAGGGTGTGAGAAGGAGTTCCTTCAGCAAAGTCAAGACAACTTACGGGACACAGCTGCTCACTTAGGAGGTGCTCACCAAATCTGCGCTGAGGGATACACCTGTTATCACTCGTCCCCCAGCTCTCCATACCTCACTGGCCCCAGAAAGGAGATGGTGGGGAGCGGGGGGCATCCTCTGGCAAGGACTCCAAGCTCCAAAGAGAGGGACGGAGGGTGCACGAGGGCCGCCAGAGAACCTCTTCTGGGGGTTTGCGGCAGTGGCTCCAGAATTCTGCAGAGCAGGGGCTGGGAGGAAGCAACCTGGCTGGCTGCACCTTCCGTTCTCACACCACGTGCCCTGCCGACAGCCCTAGCTGAGGAGAGAGACTCCCAGACCTCAGTCCCCACTGTGAGAGCAGCAGGAAACGTCCCGCAGGGCAGAGCAGCCCGGATGCTGGGGAGGCTACAGGAGGCTGTGTAGGGCTGGCCTGTGTCCGCCACCCCCACTGCTCACCTGCCCCCCTTCCACAGGCACCTCTCCACCCTCCTCCCGCCTCCGTCCAGATGCCTTCAGGCTGGTGCCCCGTTCATCAAAATTATTTTCCCCCCATTTCAAAAAGCCCTTCCCTGTTCCTAGGTCTCAGCTTTAAAAGTAATCTAGCAAACCATGTAACATGTTATCCAAATTACTTCTTCCACCTCAAAGAATTTTCATTTTAAAATAAAGTGCTCTTATGAGCCAGTAATTCTAGTTCTAGATTATATATCCAACAGAAATGCATAAAGATATTCACTAAAGCACGTGTACTGGAATACTCACGATAACCCGAACTGGAATCTAGCCCATCGGCACAGAATGGATAAGTCAACTGGATGAAGTTCACAGGGTGAAACGCTATACAGCACCGAGAATGAACAGCCTACAGCTACACACCATAATGTGAATGGGGGCCACAAACAAGGTGGGGCAGAAGCCAGACACATCTTTCTGTATGATTTCTTTTACATAAAGTTCAAAAGCAGGTGAACATGGTGCGTGATGTTAGAATGGGGATCAGGTTACCCCTGAGGGAGTAACCAGAGCCTGGGCACCGGGAGGGCTGCAGGCCTGGTATTGTGTGGTTTCCGGGTCTGGGTATAGGTGTGTTTACTGTGCAAATTCACTGAGCGTCTAGTCACCGGTCTGGCCCTGACCCGTAGGGAGACCGATCGTCCTAGTTTGCCCAGGATGGTCCTCACTGCAGCACTGAAAGTCCCGTATCCTGGGAAACCCATCAGTGCTGGGTGAACTGGGACAGCTGGCCATGCTCTAGGACTGTGGGAAGTGGGCAGCCATGTGGGCTTCCCTGGCTCCTGTGACCTCAATGCCAAATGAAGATCGAATCTCTGCCATGCCCCACCCCCAGGTTTATTCTGAGGCCCAAACAGATGGGCCTGATTCTACAGCAGTGGGAAAACCGATGGAGAGAGTAAGGCAAGTCTCCATGATGGCTGCAGGGGGACCCAGGGCCAAGCCAAGCCACAGGGCAGCTGCGTCTGAACAGAGGGAGCTGACAAAAGACCGTGTCCCAAGACCCTCTCCTGGGCAAAGGTCCGGCGTGACCCCATCCAGCCTGGGGCAGCCCCCCCCTGCCCTGCTCTCCTTTATTTACCAAGGGGCCAGCACTACAGAATCCGACACAGTTTCCTTCACTCCTCAGCTCCTTTTCTCCTGGAGGGGACTGGGTAGGGAGAGGCAGGGAGATGCTCTCCTGGCCAGAGTTTCTTCTCTGCTGCTCTGGGGGAGGCTGTGTGGGTGGGGGTGACCCCAAGCAGGGAAGAAGATGACTCTCTGGGGTACAGAACCTATGACACAGGTTCAACTGAGGTAGGCTGTCCTCATAGCCCACAGGGAGAGTAAGACTCCTGAGCACGTGAAAAAGCCACATTGGTGCACACACACACACACACACACACAATCACTCTGCTTCTGCTCAGTCTTTTGTAACAGTGGTTCCTAAACCTGGCTGTGCAGTAGAGTCACCTAAAGCCGTTTCTCACACTGGGGTCTGAAGACCCCATGGACCTAAGAAAGTATTCTTAGAGGTCAATATTCAAGTTTTCTGTGAAAATGTTTAATTTGTCCTTTTGCTTTAACAACAAAAACTTTTTTACAAAATGACTACATGCATATCTGCATTTTCAGGGAGACCATCCCGTAACTGTGTGATGCCACACAAACTCAGGGGCTGCCACTAAGGCTAGTGCCTGCTTGCAGCCTCAGGCTTCAGAGACTAAATCGGTCAAATCCCAACACGAGGGTGTGCTCTAGGGCCTGGTACTCAAAGGGCTGTCTTCAGACCAGCACCACCAGCAACCAGCGCCTGTTAGGAATGTGGATTCTCAGGTCCCCTGGAGCTTCTGAATCAGAACTTCTAATCTAAGCAGCCCAGGTGATTCCTTCATATTACTGTCTGTGAAGCACTGGTCTAGATGACTGGCCTTCCCTCTTTTCTCCAGCATTTTTTAACGGAATGGCTTCCTATTTTCCACCTAATTTCCCAATTCTAATTACTACACAGTAGCTTTCTGTTGTCTATGGGTCCCACTAAAAGCTCTATCATCAAAAGTGCTTATTAATTAGTCTGTATACTGGATGCAGAGATGAGGCTGGAATTTGGGGTCCCTCTGCCGTGAGGATGGGGTGCGGTCCTCTGAAGATGACGATGACACCCACAGCAGATGTACACCTGGCCTCTCTCCCTGCTTCTCTATGGACCCATGTACGCACATGAAGGTAAATGCCATGGCACCAGCCACGTTCCTGTCCTCCTGACCAAAGGCCCCTAGGTGGCCAGCATCAAGGATGGTGAGGGGCCCAGAATGGGGCTCTTGCTGTGTAGAGCTAGACGCTCCTGCAGAAGTGTGACGTGGGCTGTGGACATCACCAGGAGCACAGAAGCCAGGCAGGCCAGCGAGGAGGGGGTTGGGAGCCTACCGCCCTCCTGACTCTAGGCGGGCTCCCCATCAGGACCCGCCCTGGTCCCGTCAACAGCAGGGCAGCCTGGGGACCCTCCCGCCGTGCGCCCCAGGACTCACAGGATGTAGCAGATGACCCCGATGCTCCACATGTCTGTGGCGTAGCCAATGGGCTCGTAGTTGATCACTTCCGGTGCGACGAACTCTGGGGTGCCAAAGAGGACCTTCAGAGAGCCCGCATTCTCTGCAACCAGGATGGAGAGGGATCAATCGCCAGAACGTCCCTAAGCCAACCCGAGGTCAGCAGATGCCTGGGAGGGACACAGGCGAGGCCGGCCTTCAGCGGCTCTTCCCCTGCAGGACGGCACAGGGACAACAGCCTCCTCGTGGAACAAGGGCATCGACACACCAGTGGAACCGCCCTGCCCCGGATGGAATGGCTCTCCACGTGTCTGTCTCTCCCATGAGTTCCCTGAGACAGGGGTGGTGACTTGTGCTTGAAAATAATCTCTACCATTCAGTCTGTCATTTGTACCCTGCTGCCTGCTTTACGAGGACTTTCCTATTTAATGCTCTGGCCAAGGAGGATGACCCCTATCTCCCAAGGAGAAAAGGGAGGCCCAGGGAGTGACTCCCCCCCAACCCTGCCTCCCAGTAAATGGTGCTCAGGACCTAACCCAGGGGGTCTGACTCCTGAGCTATGTTCCTCCCCTGCCCCACCCACCTCTCCACATCTAGTGTCACATCTCTCTTCCCAGGAGCTGCTGGGAGGTTAGTTGGGAAAAACCATAACCCTGAGGTGGTGCCTCTGAGCCATAGAGGACCATCACCCACCAAAATGACTCTTGGGTTGGGTACTCAGGCCCTGAGTGCCTTCCCCTAACGTGCCCTGCCTCCTGAAAGGGCAGGAACAGCAGTGTTGCTTCAGAGAGCCCTGGACTAGGCCCCAGGTCCTCATTCCACCCCAGCTCATCGTGGGACTTGCTGGGCAAAGCTACTGTGAACCTCGGTTTCCTGGTCTACAAATTGAGGCTCATAAAATCTGCCCTGCCTGCCTCCAAGCGTTGCTGTGAGAATCAGATGAGAGAAAGCAGGTGAAAGTGCTCTGGAAACTGTACAGTAGGGTGCAAAAGTGAGGAAGCACCATCAGCAAAATGTTCTGCTGCTGAAGGCACCAGAGTGAAAAAAATAATGATAAAACAAATGAAAACACCTACAAAGTGCTTACCATGTGCGAGGCACTGCTCTTATCCCTCTCTACCTATATTAACTCAGTGAGCCCATAACAAGTCTATGAGGTGAGTCCTACTGTTACCCCAATTTACAGATAAGAAATTTGAGACATAGGTTCCCACAGCTAGTAAGTGGGAGGGGCAGTCTCCACGGTCTGTGATCTCAGCTCCAATCCAGGGCATCCCCTTTAATACTGTTGTGTCTAATACAGTGCCTGGAACACACACAGCCATGGCCACTGCCATGACGTGTTGGTGACAACAGGAAAGGTGGCTCGGCCTTACCCAACCTCCTGGCCAGACCGAAGTCGATGAGCTTGATCCTGGTGCCTGTCTTGTTGACACACATGATGTTCTCGGGCTTGAGGTCCAGATGGACAATGCCCTGCTTGTGGATGTACTCCACCCCCTCCGAGATCTGCCTCATGTACTTGATGCACTCCCGCTCGGTCAGCTCAAAGTCCTCATCGATGATGCGCTCGAACAGCTCACCCCCGGACACGCTGCGGGGACAGAGGGGGTGCTCAGACCACAGGAGCAGGGAGCCTGGCTGGCAGGAAGCCTGGCCAGGGCAGGCTGGGGGAAGGGGTCACGGCCAGGAAAGCCCAGTGTATGGGGATGCCAGGCATTTTCTGCAGCTTCCTGAGTCCCAGACCACTGCCCCGTTATGTCGGTCCCAGTCTTCCACTGTGTGAGGACGGCCCGGTCCTCCTGGTTTCCTGCTTGGGGGACACCGCCTGTGCCCACTAAGCTTTGGAGGGGTTCAGGGAAGCATCTACTAGGCAGTCTCAGAGGTGGCCATGAACTGAGAGATCTAGAATGATCTCCTAAGCAAAAAGGGTAACTGCCAGGCAACCTCTTTCCCCCAAATGACTATAGATGTAAGGGATTATCCTGTTCTCCAGCCATGTCTTCTGGTCATAAAGAATTGAAGTTTAAAAACTCAAAGTACCCATAAGCATTTGTTTTGCATAGCCAGAAGCAGAGAAATATCTTCAATAATACAGAGCACCAGCACATTTTGTAAAAGTCATTGGCTGTAACCTATTATACTTACAGTTGGGATCGATTTGCTTCCTCTGGCTAGGCCTATAACATCAGTTTACTCCTTCCAGCCATAACTAACTTGCCTCCCCGGCTCCCTGGCCCAGGCTGGGAGTGTAGTACATCCTTCCTGCCTGGATAGACTCTGGATCCTGGCCATGGTGGTTCTGGGGCCTGCAGTGGGCGTCTTTTCTAAGGATTGGCCAGCCAGCATATTTCCCTTCAGTGCAAATTCTGAGTCACATGGGGCCTCTCTGTTCCCCTCTCCCGGCCTTCCAAACCCACCTTCCTTGCTCGCTGCTCAGAAACCTTAAAGCATCCCCTTGGTAACTTATGCAGCATCCAGACATCAGTAAGTTCTTTTTTTACAATGGCCTGTGATCCACCAGCTGAACAAGGTTGAGTGGGCTTCCTTCGGAGCCTGTCCTCTTCCAAGGGGCTTCCCTCTTCTAAGGGAGTCATCACAAAGATGGGAAAGAGCCGAGTTTGAATCCCGTCTCTGTGGCTTGGGCAAGTTACTTAACCTTTCTGAGCCCCAGTTTCCTCATCTGTCCCTCCATCACAGTAGTTAGGAATGAAGGAACTTTTGTGAAGCGTCATGTCTGACACACAGTGGGTGCTCAGCACATATTAATTATCATCTGACAACCTGCTGCGGGCCAAGTGGATCTTGTTACTGACCCCTGAGGGAGAGACAAGACAAGGACGCACCATGGGGCCCAGCACACGGAAGCCTCTGTGGGTCTCCATCACCACAGGACAAAGACCTCTGGGAGGGCTGAGTGGGTAAAGGTCAGTCTGTGCCAGTGGCCGCTGCGGGGCGCTGGAACCAACGCTTTAGAACCAACCGAGAAGGAGGTCCTTGTGTGGCCAGCAGGTGGCGCCTCTGTCCTCAAGCCCTTCATTTCTGTTGCCCGCCACCCAGGCTCTAGGTCAAACTCTAATCTCCGTTCTTAGGTTCCTAGGTTTCAGGCCATTCTTAACATCTCTGAGCCCCAATTTCCTCATCTGTAAGATGCAGATAAAAACAGCACTATCTCACAGGGTTGCTGTGAAGATTGAGTGAATTAATACAGGTAAAGTGCTTAGAAAAGTGCCTGGCATATAGTAAGTGCTCAATAATGTTAATTATCTTTTTTTTTTTTTCCTTTTTAAAGAACCAGTGGGGGCTCTTGTTGAAAATACAGACTCCCAAGCTTCTCCCCTGAAGATTCTGATTTAGAAAATCTTGGAAGGGTTGTGATCCATATTTTTAATGAGTACCCCAGGTCATTGTTAAAATCAGACAAGTTTGAGAAATATTGGCTTACTCAGTTACCACCCCTGGGAAGCCAGCTGAAATTCATGTCCTCCGAGAAATCACTCCCCATTTCATCATATGATCTTTCCCTCCCTGGGTTCCCACACTCTCATCTCTGCACTTTCCCCATCAAGTCTGCCTTGTCTTAAAGTTGTTTGTGAACATGTCTGGAAAAGGTACGGCTCATCTCTAGACCCTTGTTTTTACCTGGCAATATCTGGCACAGACAAGGTACCCCAAAATGTTTGGTTTTAAATTTAAAATATTCTGAAAAAGCAAGAAACCATTTTTTGCAGTGTCCTTGGGAACGTCTGAGGCAATGAGTGGTGGAAATCTGAGCCGTGGAGATAATTACTGCTGCATTTCTAGAGGTAACCTATTCAGTAGAGGTGCAGATATAGGTTCAAACCTATTCAAATTTAGTTGATGTATTTTGAAAACTGTCCTTGTGGTCCATTTTCAAGGATGGAAGGGGTTACATAAACAGTTCTATATAGGTTTCTTTTCAAAACGCTCAAGACTGTGGGTGGAAAGAAGCTGCCACCCACAGAGATGGGATAAAGCCATGGGCCAAGACTGGGCGGAGGAAATGTGTGCTTAATAAATTAACAGTGATGAGTGAGTGAATGAATGAGTGAAAACCTACCTTATTGCAAGGGATCAAATTTATCCCCCAACTGTAGACATTGGCCAGCGCTCACTGGCAGCCAGAAGGACGACACTTCACGGGGCTCCAAACCCAGACCCTCTCCTCCTTGTCTCATGCCAGCTAGCTGCTTATTCTTTGATCAGTTTTGCCAATGGCAGCATGAAGGTGAGATGGGCAATGGATGGATGACTCAGCTTAAGCTGCACATCTGCTTCAGTGCTCAGGGGCCCACCAGCCCTTGGAATGTCCCAAAAGGACCAGCCCTGACTCCAGGCCTGGAGCCTGAAGGAACTCCTGTATCAGAGCAACACTGCTACAATGATAGGGGCCTGTCTCATAATCGGAGGTCAGAAAGGCTGAAGACACATTAATTCTGGTCTCTCACTGTATCTGAGGCGGCTGATCTGAAGGCTGGGGCCCTGCAATACATTTTCATTTTTCTGTATCACCAGGGATTGTCCTTCTCTTAATCTCAGTTTCTCCACCGAACAAGGAGAAGAGCAAATCGTACAGCTGAAAGCCAGCCTTTGCCTTCTCAGTGGCCAGGTCTGTTTAAGCTGGAAGGGAAGTACAGATTGAGTATGAACCTGCTCCTTCTTCTTTGGTCGAGTTCCTATCAAGGGGCAAGCTCCTTACCCCAAGTGCAGGAGAATCAGCTGGTATCTGTGAATGTAAGACTCACTCCTGTCCACGGGGGAGGCGTGGGGTGGAGGGATGAAAGCCAGACCAGCTGAAGCCCTCGTCCGTTTTCTCCCAACATTTTCCATCCAGCTTGCCAACTCCCAATTCCAAGCTAAGTATGGTATTCTGCCCACTGGTTCTGCTGCCCAGCCTCACCCAGGCTTGGTTGCCTCCTACCCGCTCCTGCACCTTCTCACGAGCTTGCTCAAGGTTTAAGTTCCAAAGATAAGACATTTCTTCACATGTCCCCACACGCCCATGCTGCCTGGACCAAGCAACCTGTTCTACAATAAATGTGAAAGGCTGCAGCCCACAGGGCTATTGTGAGGGTATAATGAGTGAGGCCATGGACATGGGCTAAATCTTTCCTAGAAGTGGGGAGGGAAGTTTGAATTCGGGGCTGAAAACTGATTCTAAGAGACGAAGGAAGATTTTCTTTGAATCTGTGTAAAACTTCCACAGAGCTGCAGAATTTTAGAACCAAAAGGGAGTATAATCCAAATATCTCTCCTCGCTGAAAGGATTTAATAATTACAAAATCACAGCTCGACAGTAATAGAAGCTGACCCCAGGTTTCCTGAATAGTAGGATTTGTTCCACAAACCAGTTGGGTGTTAAAGTGCTCACAAAATAATTTTAAGTGAAAAAAAGACCAGGATATAGAAAAAGTCAATGCATCATACTCCTAAGAATAACTCGCAATTATAGAGCCTGTGCCTGACACATGTTATTCCATCTAATCCCCACATTGTACACGAGATGGTTTGTAGCCTCCTTTTACAGATAATAAAACTAATGATTGGCACAGTTGGGCAACTTATTCAAGGTCGTCAACAAGAGGCAGAGCAGGGATTGAAGTGAGGTTTCTCAGACTCAAGTCTGTGTCTTAACCACGACTGCCTTTCCTGAGGAACACAAGCTGAAAGGAAACACAGCAAAGGTTCACGGAGTGAGGAGAGTCACTTCTCAAACTGGGGATGCCTCACTGGCTTCACCTTTCCCGGGAAAGAACACCGAGATGTTGACACAGTCCTCTCCGAAGGACTGAGATCCCTGAAGCTCGGGAGGAGCAGTTCAAGGATGCTGCAGGCACTTTCAGAGTATTGCTAAAGCTGTCAAATGCACATCCCCTTTGATCCAGCACTCCCACGCTTCTGGGAGTTTACCCTACAGATGTACACAGGCATGAGTGTAAAGCTATATGTACAAGGTTATAGACACTGCCTTTTTGCAAAAGCCAAAGCCTGGAAACCATCCAAAACCCTATCAAAAGAAGACGAATAACCTGTGGTCTATGCATGCGCTGAGATCCCAGGGAGCAGGGAGAGTGAGGAAGCCCCCTGGCTACTGATGTGGGCCTCTCTCCAAGATACACTGTTGAATGGAAAGAAGCCAAGTATAGAATATTGAGTGAAACTTGTTTTTGGGTTAAAAGGTGGGAAGTATGTGTATATGTACATACATACATATATATATATTCATATATGAATATGAATAATATATATATAAATAATATATGCTTGCATTTTCATAAAGAAACTTTGGAAGGACACAGACAAAACCAACAAAATTGGTTACCAGTGGTGCTGAGCCAGGGTAGGAACAGGGTAGACAGGAGACAGGGGTAGGAATGGGACTTCTCATTGTGTATTCTCTTATATTTTTTTATATGATTGTACCATATACTTTTAAAATTCAGATTAAAAAAGGAAAAGAAATGATTAAAAAATACACATTGGGCTTCCCTGGTGGGGCAGCGGTTGAGAGTCCGCCTGCCGACGCAGGGGACACGGGTTCGTGCCCCGGTCCGGGAAGATCCCACATGCCGCGGAGCGGCTGGGCCTGTGAGCCATGGCTGCTGAGCCTGTGCGTCCGGAGCCTGTGCTCCGCAGCGGGAGAGGCCACAACAGTGAGAGGCCCGTGTACTGCAAAACAAAAACAAACAAACAAAAAAACACACCACAGAGCATGTCTGGCTTACTGACTCCAGTATGTTTGTATGTGTGTGTGTGTGTGTGTTTGTGTGTGTGTGTGTGTGTGTGTGTGTGTGTGTGTGTGTGTGTGTGTTTGTGCACATGTAGACCAGCACTCAGAGGGGAGAGAGGTGAAGGACTGGGACTCGAAGAAACAATGGAGTCCAGGAAAGCCTTGGCTGGATGTCATCTGGTCCTCCCTCTGCCTCTGTACAGCCCAGCTCAGAAAGCGCTACTCTTTGGTGAGTGAGAGGTCAAGAGAGAACAAACCAGCGTGGACCAGGGGCACACAGAGCAGAGCAGGAGGACGGGAGCGAGGCTTACACTCCTGCATTCTGAGCTCCCAGCCCTGGGCCCCCTTCTCTCTCACAGGCCGGTTGGGAAGCTGCCCTGTCCCCCCTCTTCTGCTCTAAAGCCACCTCTAGGTCAGAATGCCCTGAATGAAACCAAGGAGCCGAGGGGTAGCCCTGAGCCTTTCACAGGGAGGTGAGGGTAAGAAGGGGGCAGGGGTCCTCAAAGGCCTGCCAGTGTGCTCTGGAGATAAGCAGAGGGGGCTGGTGGGCAGTGGGTCAGGGCCGGCACCACGCACAGATGGGCTGTCCCCAGTGGTCAGCACCCGGCCATACGGGCTGCCGAGTGTCGTGCACATCACACCCTGGCTCACAGTGCTCTCCATCTCGGGGCGGAGGGTGGTGGCGGGACAGCAGGGGAGTCCCACAAGGGGATCCTGGGCCGCCCCGCGGCGGGACACTCACATTTCCAGGACCATGACGATGTTGGCCTTCTCTTCGAAGGCATCCACACACTGGACCAGCTTGGGGTGGTGGAGGCAGTTCATGATGCTGATCTCCTGCCGGATGTTCTCCTTCTCTTTTGCTGAATATGCCTTGAAGAATTTCCCTGCCCAGATTTTTCCAGTTTTCTTCTCTACAAGTCGAAAGACCTGTCCAAATTTCCCACTGTGAATGAAGGGAGGAGAGAAAAAGCAATTTAGCCCAGCTTTCCACTGACCTGGGATTGGCAAGTGATGGACCGTGGGACCCACCTGGCCTCCCTCTTTTTCTAAATAAAGTTTTACTGGAAAACAGCCATGCCCATTTGTGCCCAGATTGTCTGTGGCTGCTTCTGGGTTTCAGTAGCAGAGCAGTCGTTGCAGCATAAACCAAATGGCCCACAAACCCTAAATATCCATTATCTGGCCCTTTACAGAAGAAGTCGGCCAGTCCCTGCTCTAGGTCAGTGAAGCACACTGCGGATGCCATAAACCTACTCTCCATCACTTGTCAATGTCAGCCCGAGTCTGGCCCCCAACCCTGCCCTAACCCTGTCCAGCCTTGCTGTTCTTTCAGGACTGTCATCTCCTTGGGCTGAGGCCTCAATCTTGGCGACAGACTTCTTTCCCTTTCCCCCGCGAAAGGACCCATGACGTCAGGTTGGGGAAGTCCTCCCCAGGTACCGGGAATTTCAGAGTGGTTGCCTTCCTTTCACACCTTTCCAGTACCGGGGGCCTGGAGACAGCCTAGCAAGGCCCCTGCTTCCCACTGTAGGGATGGCAGTGGTGGCATTCCGCTGACACCACTCCCGCCCCAGAGCAGGGTCCTCGTTCTTCAGGACTGTGATGAGGTTGGTGTCACTCCTTTATTGGACAGAAACCCTCCGGAAATAAAGAGCTGAGCCCCATTCCTCTCTCTTCCACCTCCCCTCCTCCTCCAGGGATAGTGGGCGACAGGCAGCCCTGGGTGCTGCTGCTGGTGGGCACAGCCTGGCTGTGCCGAGGGCCCAGGGTTGTGGTCTGAGTCCACTGGTGTCTCTGCAGCCCGGGGAAGAGCCTGAGCAGAGACTGTGGCCTGAGTTCACGAAGCGAGGGGGGATGACAGGAGGTGCATGTCAAGGCGGCGCGTTCTCCTGAAGCACTAGAGCTAGAACTGCTGAACGGCGAGCACGGATCAAAGGGAAGGGATCCTAAGGACGGGCCGGGCCAGACCCGCTGCCCTGGGTTATGTCCTATGTGAGGGGTGGATTGCAGAGGAGGACGGGCCTGCTCAAGCTTGCGGAGGGATCCCGGGGCACAGCAGCTCCTAAGAGAGCCCTGGCCGGGTGATGCTTTCACGGGTGCCAACAGGTCAAGCCCTCCCGGTTCTGCAGGAACCTCAGTCTGGGGAGTTGGCAGGACCCAGGGAAGGACAGGAAGAGGAAGCAGGGAACTTAACCTCGGGGCCTGCGCCACCCTCACCCGGGGCTCCGGAAGGGTGCTTCCCACTCCACTTACGATCCTAGTCTCTCTTCGATGTCATAGAAGTCAGACACTTTCTGGTCAGTATTGACCACGACGGTCCGATAATCGACCTCGGGCTCCTTTTCATCTGCAGGGTGGGGGTCGGGGTGAGTGTGAGTCATCAGACCCCTCACCCACCCCCGCTCCACCCCTCGAGTCTTCCCGAGGACGGGGGCCAGCACTCACCATCATCTGACACCTCCACTTCATCCTTCGGCTCTAGGGGGAGAGAGGGCGTGGGCGATTAGTAACAAAGGCCCACCGAGAGCAAAGCATGCCGGGGGCCCTGTCAGACTTCAGCCTTCCCAGGCACAAGACCACCAAGCCCAGAGCTCTGGGCACCACCACGGGGTCAGTGGGTCCACGCTGCAACAGGGCCACGTATATACCGGCAGGCGCTGACCCCCACCCAGCCCCTCCTCTGCCAGCTGTCCCCTCCATCCACCCCCTCTAGCCTTGAGGTCCCCTAGACATGCCCTTCTTCACATCTTTTCTAGTCTCTCTGACTTTCAGAACCTATACACAACTGCGACAGTCCCTTTCTGCTCTGGCTCAAAAGTCGGCAACTTATAATTGCTACTAGTGCCAAATCCATTTATCCATTTGCTGAGAACTTTTTCTGGAATTCCAGCTAGGTACCAGTTATTTTGCCAGTGATCATGGGTGTACAAAACAAAATACAGATGGCATGATCTCTCCTCCTTTCTTGGAGCTTATATATAATTTCGTTGGAGAGGCAAAAACACATATCCTTGAAATATCCATTACGAGTGTTATATAATCAAGCACGTGATATCGCAGTACAAACTGAGTAGACAGTGGAGGAAGGTGACACAAGTGGGGCAAGTATAAAGTCAGAGCAATTAGTCTAGGAAGAAGGAGCCCTTGAGTTGTGTCTTAAAGGAAATGATGGAACACAGCGAGGAGGTGGGTGACGTCATGCAGGAAGCCAGCGGGTGTTTATGGGTATGGCAAGGAGGGACATGAGCAGCCCACCCTGGCCGTTCACAGATGGGGGGTCGTGAGGGGACAGGCTGGTGGCCAGAGGAATACACCCACTTCTGAAGTCCAGGCTTTCCTTTGCTTTGGTATAATTAGTCCCTAAAGAGCCACTGTGGCTTCTTGACCTTAGCCAAGTGCCCTTCCCTTCCTGGACCTCAGTTTCCTCATCTGTAAAAGGAAAGCACTGTATTTCTGGGTGGTTTCTTGGGTCCTTGGCTAGCCCTGGACGCCATGCTTTGTGATGCGCTAGGTGCTACTCAGCCATGATGTGGGGCTGTGTCCCGTCTGACAGCGGGAACCAAGGGAGGCTTCCTGAAGAGGTAGAAAGACCTGAGGAAACCAGAGAGGGAGGCCAAGGATTTCTAAAGTGTGTGTGTGTTTGTGTGTGTGAACCACTGGGGGAAAGGGTGTGATTTGCTGAAGCTCCCAGCAGAGCAAGACTGAGGACAGGAAAGGGACGGCAGATGGAAGGAAGGCCAGGGCAGACGGGGCCGAGGGGTTGGTCAGACACTGCCCAGAAAGGAGGGCTTGTGTGGGAGCGGGCCCAGCTCTGTGTGCTTCGCAAGTGGAATGCTGGCGGTGAAGGTGCGGGTCGGGGACCAGGTGCAGCTTGAAACCGTAGACAGTGAGCCTCTCTGTTAGGCTGAGGGCAGAACAAATGACTGAAACCTAAGCAGGCAACCTGAGGGAAGTCACACAGTTCCCATGCAAGATAAGTACCCCTTGCTGGAAAAGAGTTTTGAGAGAGTTTATAAGCATGTGACCGGGAACAAGAGAGGCTATGATTTGTTTAGAGTTCTTAAAACGCTGTTGATGAAGTTTAATTTTAAAAAACCAACACAAGTGGGATTGGGAGGAATATTTGTCACAGAAAGGAAAATGCCATGGAAAAATAAAAAAAGGATAAGGTCGATGGGGGCTCTCAGATTAGTGGTGGGGTTCACAGATACTGTCGGGATGTGAGTATAACTGATCAAGTCTTCTAAATCACAGATTTGAGAGTTGACAGTGACACTGTCAAATTCACAGATGACCAAAATGTACTTGAGAGCAACACACCTGTAAGGTAGCAATGGAGTCATGTGTTCAGGGAGAACTGAATCATTCAGACTTTCAGCATGACAAGCCCTAGGGTATCTAGTTAGAACCAAAAGTGGGAGCCCCATTCCTCAAGCAACTGCTCTGGCCAACAGAATGCTGTCACTGGGGACGTGTGCACCGGCTGCAAACAGGTGTTATTACTCTGCCCTTGGTAGAGCCTGGGGTCATGTGATCCTAGAACCCTGGCTGTTGGCACTGAGAAAGTCTCAGTGGAGCTGGAGGAGGCGTGGGCCATTGAAAGGAAGAGCTGCCATGTGAAGATGATCAGAAGAGGTTAGGCCTCTCTGGTTGGGAAAGAAGCCTAAAGCAGACATGATAAAAAACAAAAAAAATCACAATAGCCAAGGGTGAGATTAGGGTTATGAACTTTCACCAACTCATGAATACTATAACGTGGGAGAACAATTTAGCGTTATACCTCACATAGGAGGAACGCTGCAGGCATCTGGAAATCACACCTCAAGAGCCACCGTAAGAACGATAAATAGGTTCAAGAGATGTTTAGGTTAGTTCAACAATGGTATGTCAGACGGGGATTTAAGGAAAGCAAGAGATTCAAGTCAATTCAACAATCACTAACTGAGCACTTGTGGATGCCAGTCACTGCATGGGGCCTTAGAGACAAAACATTAATGATAATACCCACATTTAGTGGCAGGGAGGCCCCGTCGTCCTGATCCGTGGTGCCCTAGCTGAGACAGTGGTTTGACCTCTCCTGACCTTTTTGTCCCCATGCCACATATCCTGGTGTAGAATGAGCAACAGGATGAGAGAGTACAGAGAGACAGGCTCTCCTGGCCTGGAATCTCTAGGAGGAACCGTCTGTCCTCTCCTCGTGAAGGAACAGAGGCAGCGCTGTGAGCCCATGAGGGGCTTTCCGATGACCTGTTTCCCGGAGGCATCTTCCAGGTGGCCCTGAAAGGGCATGCAGTTCTAGAACTGGCCTCTCCCCATCTCTCTGACACCAGTTAGAGATGGAGCTAGCCTTCTTGCCCTCCTCTCAAATACCACACCTACCCTCAACTCCTGCCTCTCTCCTTAGCAGTCAAGATGCAGCGTGCTTTCCTGGTACCAAGGCTGTGGGGTCCAGCTCAATCTCAGGGAACCCAGGCCCCGGTCTCTGGCTCACTGTTACACAGCAACCCTTCCTCTGTGTGGAACTCGGACCAAGGCTCCAGGCTGAGACATTTCCTTTCCTCCTTTTCCTTCTCGTCCTGTCTCCACTCTATTTGGAAAGGAAATGGCCATGAGAGGAGGAACCCCAGAGGCGTGGGGGAAAGGCCACAATTCAATTAGCCAAGCTCTCTGAGCATAAAGAGGTAGTAATGAGAGAGGTGGCCACATGGTGTCCATCTTTCCGTTCAGGAAGGAGCTAAACTGCAGTAGAAGGGACTTCAACGAGATACTTTTTTAAAAATCCACTCAGAAAGAGCTGTGAGATCCAAGAGCTAAGTGGAAGAACTATTTGGAAGATGGTTCCAAGATATTTCTGCAGGCAGATGACACCATCCCCCTGGAGTGGTGTTTCGGGGAGGGCCGGCTGAGCGCTCTGGCCCTCACGTGGCACGTGTCTAGCCGGCTCCCTGGACAGAGCGGTCCCTTTGCACGGCGGAGGGCTGCTGGGCGCCCAGCGGGCACTAGAGGGCGCCCGCGCCCCGGGGAGGGCAGCCGCGGCAGCTCAGGGTGAGCGTTTGATTTCCGCTGCTTCTCTGGGGGCTCTGCATCTCTACCCCACTCTGCAAGCAGCCTCTATCACAGCTGTTTGCTAACAACTATACAGACTAGAACAAATTAGGATTAGGAGCAAGGACGGAGCGGATTTCAGAGTTAGAGTTGAGTATGGTGGGAGTGGAGATCCAGACCTGGTTGGGATGGGAGAGAGCGGCTGCGTTGGGTGGGAGGGGGAAGGGGAGGTGCTCGTTTACTCAGGTTTGGGAAGACGAGGAGGGGTGCTGTCAGGTTACGGGTCCTAGACTTAGCGGGGTGGGGGGCTCTGGCATAAGGAGGCCACAGAGCTGGGTGGAGACCTGCATGCTATGCTGTGGCCTCCACCGTATCCCTAGAGCCCCTGCAGCACCTGGAACACAGGAGGGGCACTGGACACACTGAGTGAGTGAATGCAGAGTGAGGGCGGGGATGGAACTGAGAGGTCCGGATGAAGCCCAAAACTGAAGTTGCTGAGGCAGAGGCTGGAGGGGCCGTGGTAGCGGTGGGAAGGTGAGAGCCAACATTAGCTGTGCTTAGAGGGAGGAGGGTTGATTGGCACTGACTTTTTATGACCACCAGACCCCACGGGCTCACAGAAATGAGCTACTATAATCACATCCCTCTTCTACACATGTGCACACACACACACACCCTCCACTTCTCTGAGAGCCATTGCACTTTTAAAGAGGAGAGAGATGATCAACCCAGGCTATAACTGACAGGCTTCTGAGCCATCCACAGAGCTTCACTTGGAAGCCACACCCCCTTACCCTCACCCTCCCATCCCCCCCTTCATCCTCTGCCCCTCAGAGGATGTTCTGTGCTGTTCTGCCCCTTCCCCCTCCCATCAGGGACAAGCCAGCTGGACCTGGGGGTGGGAGCATCTTCCAGCCTGGAAGCCCTGGGTGGCCTGGACCCCTCCTCTGGATTGCAGGCAATTTCAACATTTCCCTTTGTCTGCTTCCTGCCAGGACGGGCCCCAGGAAGAGAATCTGAGGACCACAGAAGGGGGTTCAGCTGGCCTCAGGCAAGAAGGGAGAGGCCACCTGCCTGGACCCAAGTGGTCCTAGCCCCTCCTCCCCACAGACCGTCCTCACAGCCCTGGAAGCTGCTGTCCTGGCCTCCTAAGAGCCACACGCGCAGCTCCTGTGGCCTCTGGTCCTCTGTGTGGGGCTCAACAGGTATTCTACAGTCTCTCCTGGTACATGCCCTAAAAGACCTGGAAGTTTTCCCTTCCAGCTAATGCACATCTCACTGCCACGTTACCCCTTTTCTATCACTTTTCTAGGAGGTTGGGAGTCATCTTCTTGGACAAAGTAATATGCTAAAAACGTGCAGACTGGAACCTGGCTGCCTCTCCTGGCACGCCCACTCGAACCAGTCTGCTTCCCATTCTGCTCATGTCAAAGGGCGGCCGATGACAGTTTTGTTACTGCTTCTCCCAGAAGACATCTGTGAGCGGCTGGTGGGCAGGAGCCCCATGAAACTGCAAAGAGGTCTGGCAGGGCTCTCTCGGGCCGGGCTCCACGATCCACGCCGCCACAGCACACTGTGGCTCTCAGAGAGACCTGCCCTCTGGGGGATCTCTAGGGCTCCCTGGGCAAAGGCCCCCAAGACAGGGCTGCACAGGCAGAATTATAAATTTGGTGTGTTTTCCACTGGCAATCTCCAAACTTTCTTTCTGGAGCCCTCATTTAATTTGAAAGTAAAGTTTAATATCTGTTTTATGCCTAAATTTTGAAACTAAAGAGGGGTATCAAACTGTAATGACAGTTTCCATACATATGATGCCTCTGGCTATATGGTGATTTCAGGACCTGCGCCCTGTCCAGGTCCTTTAGTCTTCTCTCTACCTCACATCTTACAGCTCTCTCTTCTCCTAGAAGTCTTTCACTTGTTTTCCCTCCACCTTCCTCCCTGCCCCCTTGCCTCCATCTTAAATTCACAGCGCTCGTTTTCTTCTTTTCACATGAAACTTCTTGAAGTAACGTTCCATACTCCTGGCCTCTCCTTCTTCCATTTATTCCTTAGCCCCAGGCCAACCATTCTCGACCCTGTGGAAACGCTATGGACTTTGCTCTCAAAGATCACGGCTTATCAAAGGGCTGAATCCAAAGATCTTGCATCCTCATCTCTTTCCTCTTTGCCACTCGCTGCTTCCATGTTTCTGCAACACAGCTCCAGCCTCCCCTTGGTTCTATCCCCTCTCAGTCCTTTCTCCTGGTCGTGCAGGCTCCTTCATTTCTGTACCAGTGTAGACTTTCTTTACCCCCCTCTCCGTGAACTTACTGATGCCCATGGCTTCAATTACCAATTAAATAGTGAAGACCCCCCCGCCCCAAACCTGTAGCTCGAGCTTAAACCTTTCTCCTGAGCTCTGGATTCAACCATCCAACAGTCTGAAGACACCTCCCCATGGATATCCCTCAGACACCTCAACTCAACAGGACCGAAGCCAGAACTTCCACCTTCTCTGGGACTCCCTGCTATCTAACCTCCAAGTCACTGGGAGGCAGCCTGGCCTCCTCCATTAGTTTAACCAACGGAGCTCAGGCTCAGGGTCAGACAGCTCTGAGTTCAAGCTTCAACACACCATTTCCAAGCTCTGTGACCTTGGGCAACTAGTTTCACCCCTCTAAACCTCAGTTCCCCTATCTGTAAAGTGGGGGTAATGACAGTATCTACTTCGTTGAGTTAGATGCGTGACATAATGCACATAAAGTGCTTAATGAATGGTTAGCATACAGCAAGTGTTTAATATATGTTAGCCACCATGAATCATAATAATCAACCTCTAAATGGCTCTTGAACTTGTCTTTAGTTGCCCAAGCTGGGACCTGGGAGTAATCTTAGACTCTTCTAACTTTTCCCTAGAATTCTCTGCCCCAGAAGTCATCAGGAATGGTCAATTCCACCTCCTAAGGAGCCTTACTATACCTCTCCCGGACTACACCACAGGGGCTCAACCGGTATTTCACTGACTCCAATCTCATCCCCCTAGTCCACTTCAGTGCTTCTCAAACTTTCAAGTGTATATGAATCCATGGGGGGTGAGGGTGGATAATGTTAAAATGAAGGTTCAGAAGGGACTAGGGAAGTGGGGGGCAGAGAGTCTGCATTTCTAACAGGCTCCCAGGATCCCAAGACTAGTGGTCCAGACCACCCCTTGGGTTCCAAAGGTCTATTCTTCCTCTAACTCTCTTTCTAAAAACACAGATCTAATTGCATCAAGCCCCTGCCTGAAAACCTTTGATGAACTCACGATTTTACCCACACCCTCCTTTTCGTGTTGCTTCCTCCTGTTCTATCTCACACAGCATATGCCCTGGCCACACACACGAGTCTCCAAATGCCATGCATTTCTACCACTTTGTACCTTTGCTCACACTGTTTCCTCTGTGAGGAATGCCTCTCCCAATCTGCCCTACCTCTTGGAATCCTATTCCTTTTCCCAAGACTCAGCATACGTATTACGTCTAGGAAGTCTTTCCCAACCTTCATGGCAAAATTATTCATGCTTTCTGCTATGTCTCCGCAATTTGTTTATACTGGTCTAATAGGATGCAGCCCATCTCATTATAGTTAGCTGTCCTCCTTGTCAGATTTTATGCTCCCAATCTTATCGGTCTTCCCTGACACTGAGTTCACCCTCAAATATGAGTGCAAGAGAGGAGGGAGCTGGATGAGTGGGTAGGGCAAGACGTTGAAACTATAGGTCTACCTGAGCTCCCGCTTCCCAGGACTGTGCTTCTGATTAACACACCATCGGCCCTGCTGGGAGTGTACCAAAACCGGTGGTTCAGTATTTTTTGAAGGATCATAGGTACCTCTTTTAGAGTATAGATCAGTATCACAACATTGGAAATCAAGATCCCAAAAGACTCTGCCAGCCATCAGTGATGTCTTGTCAGTTCCCTTGTACCCACCTCAGTTCAGCCTTCTATACACACAAGGTAAGTCATGCACATTTATCGCAAGCCGGGAATGAAAGGAAGGCAGCCTACCCTCAGGTTTCTCTCCCACCACTGTGAGTTCAGACTCCTGGCTCGGCTCACTGGTTCCATAGACGTTGATTGCGCGCACACGGAATTTATACTCTCGGTCAGGCAGCAGGTCGTGGATGTTAAAAGAGGTGCTGCGGCATGTGGCTAGTTCCTTCCACTTCTTGTCCGCCGAGTCCCAGATCTCGACGCTGTAGGACTGTACGGCGCTGCCCCCATCGTACGAGGAGCCGTACCAGGACAGGGTCAGCGAGGAGCTGCGAATGTCAGAGGCACAAGGCGTGCCGGCCGGGGGGTCCGGCTTGTCTGGGGAGAGAGAAGCACAACATCACCCAACTCTGCAGGACTGCAGGGCGAGAAGTTCTTTAATTGGCTCTGTCATGAGGGAGAAGCCTGGAGAACAGGAGCTGCGATCCCTGGTCCTGGCTCTCCTTCCCTCATCCACACGGCCACACCTAGGTACATACCTGCCTATGTGGAAAGCCCCACAAATACCGATTTGCTCAGAAAAAACCTCTTTTTTGGTTAGTTTCCAGTCTACACATCATGGTTTCCTGTGCTTTGCCCAAGTCAAAAACATATTTCTCTGTGTAAACAGACCTAGGAAGCTGCCCAGGAGGCGTGGACTGCTTCCCATCAAAAATATGCTTTGAGAGAGAGTTCTGTGTGTGTGTGTGTGTGTGTGTGTGTGTGTGTGTGTGTCTCCTTCAGGCCTGAGGTCAGTGACCTGTGACATAACCAGGGGTCAGTCTCCACTTTCTCTAGGACCTGGGAAACACCTGCCCCGCTGGGAGTCAGTACAGCACAGTGAGCTCTGAAGTCACACACTGGGTTTGAATACAGCTCTGTCTTCATTCATTACTTGTTAACCCCTCTGTGCCACAGTTTCCTCGTCTGTAAAACGTGCATGATGATAGCACTGGATCACAAGGTTGTTGTGAGATGTTCTTAGAAAAGCGTCTTGTTTGAGTAGCCTTTACTGTCATCATTATTGCAGAAGTTTATTTCTAACTTTATAATATATAAAAAATTACTCCTACCCTCTCTCTGTCATCCTCCTAGGACTGGTATAAAATGAGATAGAGAATTTCAAAGCGAACCACCGTAGCAAATCACAATCATCCCTGACTGAGGGCCAGAAAATGAGCTGAGGACACAAACTAGGAGCGGCCCTTTGTCTGGCCGCCTTCCCATTCAGACCAGTAATGCTAAGAACCAGTAACACTGCCAACTTCAAGGCAAATCACGGTAGTCAGTGTGTTCATTAATGCGGTTCTTTAGTTCTGCTGATTTTTGGCAGGTGTTCATCTGAACAGAATTCGATTCTTCAGATTTAGTCTCTGCAGGTGGTTGGTTTAGTTACAGATACCAGTGTTCACTAAGCCTTCATCTCCTCCAAGACAATCTGAGTCCTAGAGCTCCCCAAACTGGCAATTAAAAGCCATGTTTTATGCTCTGTGAATTTATAAGCTATGTGAATTCCAGCTAATTCCTTAACTTCCAGGACAAGTTTGTCTTTTTCATTTGGAAAATGGGGTTAATATATATCTACCTCTTAGGGGTTTTGCAAGCATCAAATAAGCAAACCCAGGTAAAAGTACTTGATTTCTACTCTCCTTCCCCTCAGCAAGGTAGGAAGGCCAAAGAAAATCCCTGCAAATGACTTAAGCATATTGAGAAGAAAAAGAACATTCTGCCTGTGTATGTGTCCATGCATACACACACACCTATACATACATACACACACACACACAAACACATACATATATACCTATACACACATCCACACCCACATATACATATACACACACATACTCATTTCCCCCCTCCCCCAAGCCCTGCTGCTTCTACATCCAGCCAAGAACGCACTGCCCGGAAGCCATCCATACCCAGCAACCCCAGCCTGGGCTGACTCGCCCTAGAATGACTGTGGGACTGTGACAGCCACTCCCCACCGGTGGCAGTCACGCTGGAGGCCTCCTATGATGGAACCACTTTCACGGGTTGTTCAATATGTTCTCTTAGAAAAACTGTTTGTTCTGAAAGATATGTTGGTCTTTTTAGAAATATCTCTGGTGTTGGCTAAGATGTTTATTACTCTAAACTATCTTACAGGCAAGTGGTTCAAGTCCTCTCAAGACCCAGCTAAGGAAGTCAAAAGGCCTAAAGAAAGATGAAGGACAGACTCCCTGCCTCCCTCCCTCAAAGGAAATGCCTGGAAAACCGACTGGACACGTTTAATGTCCTGTAGTTTGAGATGACGAATACAGATACACTCCACTGACTGATATTCTCCCCTCCTGCTTTGGTCAAGAAAAGAAAACTTGGAGAAATGGGTATTTTGGAAAAGGTACTATTAATCCCCTACCCTGTTCCAAATTTAGTCTCTTGGCTAAAAGAGAGAGAACTGACACAGGACATATGTCACTGCCTGCAGCATGAGAGAAGATGCAAAGTTTGGGGAGGGTGGCTTTAATTCAAAGTGAAACCTCAATGCTTTCAAGGAATTTGATGCCATGTTAAGGAGTTCAGAACAGACGCAAGTTTGAAGTCATAGGAGATTAGGAGGCCCCACCCGCATGCCTGCCCCGGGAGCCACGGGCTGAGCCTGATGCTTTCTGTTCTTTCCAACCTACGGCGCTCCACATGGAGGCCGGATGAGCTGGGGACGAAAACCCTCAGGACAGAATAGACGTCCTCAGAACAGCCTGCTCTCAGGACCAAAGAAACAGACGCACTCAGTCTGGGAGGGAGGCCTGGGCATGGCCTGGCAAAGGCCAGGCGGGCTCAGTGTCCGGGGCCCCGAGCTCCATGCTTCCTTGGAATTCTTTCGTGGCTCCCTGGAGACTTGACTAGCAGAATGGGAAACGCTGAGTCTAAAGGAAGGGGCTCCGATGGTACCAGTTCCAGGATTTTCTCTCCAGCAAATGTTCTCACTCCTGGGAAAACGGAGGATCTCATCTCTGCTGCTTCTCTGGAGTAACTGCGCTGGCAGTCCCTGCGTGCCTGTGTGTTTGAAGATGGTCTGTGACTGGGCCTAACCCCACCTGGTCCTCCCTCCACTGGCACCTCAGCAGCCACCTGCAGCTTTTAGAGAATGGCAGGGCTGCAAGGGCCCCCAGGTTATCTATCTGGGTAATCCCGGCCCTTCGGGATTAGGCAAGGCACTTTGCTTACCAAGAATACCCAGCTGGCCAGTGACGGAGACAAGAGGAGATTTTAAAAGGTCTCTGAACCCTCACTCCAGGGGCCTGTTATTTTCCCAGCTATCAGGCTGAATAAGATCAAGAATGCATCTTGCTTAAGCCCAAGCCAAGCATTACGATGAGAAATCTCCTGCCCTTAAAAATCATGCAAGTTCCAAGCTCAGAGAGCATTGGGGGATTACTGGGTATCTGGGATCCTCTCTGCTTTGTTTTTCTCCTTTAAAGATACGCAGAGTGGCCTGTTTTTCTTGTGTTGGACAAGTCGCATGAAGGGCTTCATCTGGGTCCAGCTGCTCTCTCCTGCCCGAGAGGCCCCTCCCTCACCCCTCCGAGGCTGAGGCTGGAGGCCCACTCGTGGGCAGAGGTCCTCTGCGCATCACAAATCCCTGCACTATCTCTTAACATATAATAATAATTAGCCTTCAAAATAGCTAAACATCACTCATTTAAAGTAACTGAAGGAAAGACTAATTTTTTTGAATGAATTTATGTATTTATTTTTTTATTTTTGGCTGTGTTGGGTCATCGCTGCTGTGCACGGGCTTTTCTCTAGTTGTGGCGAGGGGGGGCTACTCTTCCTTGCGGTGCGCGGACTTCTCGTTGTGGTAGCTTCTCTTGTTGTGGAGCACGGGCTCTAGGCACGTGGGCTTCAGTAGTTGTGGCGTGCAAGCTCAGTAGTTGTGGCTCGCGGGCTCTAGAGCACAGGCTCAGTAGTTGTGGCACATGGGCTTAGTTGCTCCGCGGCATGTGGGATCTTCCCGGACCAGGGCTCGAACCTGTGTTCCCTGCGTTGGCAGGTGGGTTCTTAACCACTGCACCACCAGGGAAGGCCAGGGAAAGGCTAATTTTTATCATCATTTAAAAAAATAGGAGTCAGAGACTATCTGAAAAGAAAGGGGTACTTTAAAAAACATACAAGAAGAGACATTTACTGCTAATTAGTAGAAGTTGTGCTAAACTGGCCTTATTTAGCTGGCTTACAAGTGGATGCTTCCAAAGGGCTTGTAACTGTCTGGAGTAGGCCAAACAATTCCTGTTTCATCTCATTTACATTTTACATCTACTTAATCAACCCTGATCAGATAATACACAGATGTCGCTAGAGACATGCAGGTAAACCTGGGCTTCATCCAGATTTACTTTGGACTGATTCTAAATCCCCAGGCTCTGAATGAATGTGGATTTGCTGTACCCATCAACGCGAGTCCTCATTTTATTGAGCAATTCTATTCTTAGCTTTCCAAGGGGGAAGCAGACAGAAAGCCCTTCCCCTCCATTCCATTCCCCTCCCAGGACGGCATTTAACATGCCGCTCCTGCCAGCTGGCGGACAGCCACGCCAATGGCCCTGTCAGCACTGGCCGAGGAGAATGAGAAACTCAACCATAAAAGGCCACAACTGCAGCCCGTATGGTGGTGATGGGGGAGGGGAGTGGGGGGCACCGTGGGGAGCGTGGGGGCAGGGGGCGCTGGCCACAGAAAGGCAGTTCCATGGACTTGACCCTAACGTTCCCCCAGCAGGAGCAGATGAGAGAGAACACCAAGGAAAACTGGAAACTGCTACCAGCCGACGGGCGGGGCGTGGCACCAAATCAGTACTTCAGGTTCCGGTCTAAGTGGAAAGGCGAACCGGATCACTAGCACCAATTCCCCCCCCCACAAAGTGTTCCTGACTCCAGGAGGAGACAATTAAAATAGGAGTCACCACAGAGAGTGAGGGGGTCAAGGGTCTCTCCTGTCTTTTATGAGATGAGAAACCTATTCCCTGAGCCTCTCGTCCACTGGCCTTCCCAGAGATAAAACTCCTGACCTAAGGAAACTAAAGAAAGGGGATCAGATCAAAGAACTCCAGGTGAAATCCAAAACTGGGCAGAAGGCCTAAATAGACATTTCTCCAAAGAAGATATACAGATTGCCAACAAACACATGAAAGGATGCTCAACATCATTAATCATTAGAGAAATGCAAATCAAAACTACAATGAGATATCATCTCACACCAGTCAGAATGTCCATCATCAAAAAATCTAGAAACAATAAATTCTGGATAGGGTGTGGAGAAAAGGGAACCCTCTTGCACTGTTGGTGGAAATGTAAATTGATACAGCCACTATGGAGAACAGGATGGAGGTTCCTTAAAAAACTAAAAATAGAACTACAATACGACCCAGCAATCCCACTACTGGGCATATACCCTGAGAAAACCATAATTCAAAATGAGTCATGGGGCTTCCCTGGTGGCACAGTGGTTGAGAGTCCGCCTGCCGATGCAGGGGATGTGGGTTTGCGCCCCGGTCCGGGAAGATCCCACATGCCGCGGAGTGGCTGGGCCCGTGAGCCATGGCCGCTGAGTCTGCGTGTCCGGAGCCTGTGCTCCGCAGCGGGAGAGGTCACAACAGTGAGAGGCCCACGTACCGCAAAATGAGTCATGTACCACAATGTTCACTGCAGCTCTATTTACAATAGCCAGGACATGGAAGCAACCTAAGTGTCCATCGACAGATGAACGGATAAAGAAGATGAGGCACATATATACAATGGAATATTCCTCAGCCATAGAAAGAAATGAAATTGAGTTATTTGTAGTGAGGTGGATGGACCTAGAGTCTGTCATACAGAGTGAAGTAAGTCAGAAAGAGAAAAACAAATACCGTATGCTAACACGTATATATGGAATCTAAAAAAAAAAAATGGTCATGAAGAACCTAGGGGCAGGACAGGAATAAAGACACAGATCTACTAGAGAATGGACTTGAGGACACGGTGAGGGGGAAGGGTAAGCTGGGACAAAGTGAGAGAGTGGCATAGACATATATACACTCCCAAACGTAAAATAGATAGCTAGTGGGAAGCAGCCGCATAGCACAGGGAGATCAGCTCGGTGGTTTGTGACCACCTAGAGGGGTAGGATAGGAAGGGTGGGAGGGAGGGAGACGCAAGAGGGAAGAGATATGGGGACATATGTATATGTATAGCTGATTCACTTTGTTATACAGCAAAAACTAACACACCATTGTAAAGCAATTATACTCCAATAAAGATGTTAAAAAAAAAAAAGAACACCAGGTGAAAAGCTTTCGTGTGCACCACGTATGAAGGCCCGAAAGTGCTCTAGGACCAGCCTGCTATCCATCTGCTGCTCCTTCGCTGTCCTGAACGCCTGCCACGTGTGTGTGGGGGGGGGGGCAGTGGGCTGAGCATGACGGACAGTAGGAGGCCAGTTAGGAAGCTAGTTTGATATTTCAAGAGAGAGTTGACCAGGGCATGAAAAACACAGTGATTGAGATGGAGAGGAAAAAGTGACCTTGACAATCAGTCTGAAGACAGACTCTGAACTCAATCCTGGGATGTAGGAGATAAGAAAAAGGGAGTGGATTGGGGATTAGGAGGGCAAGGTGACCTCAGAAGAGCAGTCCCAGAAGACTAATGGGGCCTGGGGGTGAGGCTACAGGGAGTTGAAGATTGTTGCCAGGGAGGTGAAGAAGGAGACTCAGAGGAGAGACTGGCTCTTTCAGAGGGTTTGGCCGTGAAGAGAGAGCAGGAGAAAGATGCTAGGGTGGCCAGAGTGAGACGAGATACTGCAGGAGTTATGCGTGCCTGTGCGCATGGCGACAATGGGAGAGTCCTGGCAACATTTATGGGAGAAATTGGGGAGAAGTTGAAGAGAATGGGGGTGGCGGGGGTTGGAGCCCTCAAGAGCCTGGGGTCCGGAGCACAGGAGAAAGGTGGGCAACACCCAGAGCCTGGAGGGTGGAGTCAGCACGGGGACAGATAGAGAGACACCTGCAGGTGTGGGACCACCAAGCTAAGCAAGTTCATGCCTGATGCCTCCTATTTCTCAGAGAGGCCAGTGGCCAAGGCCTGCAGGGTAGGGGGTCTCGAGGAATGGCTGTCTCAGGGTATGGGAGAGGGCACTGACCAGCGCTGACGCCCTGGCTGAGCCTGGACATTGACAGAGCCCAGCACTGAGTCTGCAGATTGATGTGGTCTCTCTGCCGTGCCCTGAACTCAGGCAGAGCGGCAGTGAAGTTGAAAGGCAGCACTGATTCAAGGTGAGGGTTTGCGAGGGGACTGGGGTTGGGGGCAGGCAGTGGACCAGGGGGAGAAGGGGTCACAGGGGCTAGCTGGAGAGAGTTGGAGTGGTAGAGCTCAGAGTCTGGCTAGAAAGGGAAACTGGGAGGGGATTCATAGGAAGAGGAAAACGCTGTGTGTGCAAGGTCTGGGATTCTCAACAAGCACGAAGGGCAGCAACAGTGTGAGAGCAGGGAGTGGGAGAGCGGGGAGAAAGGGAGCCTGTGGGCAGAGGGAACACGTGCTGAAGCAGCGGCCCCGGGAGATGAGGCCTGGAAGTCCATCATCCCGCCTTCCCTACGCCCCGTCCCCAGACTCACCCACAACGGTGAGGTTGACCTGGGCCTGCCTGCTGCCCAGCCTGTTCTCCACCAGCAGAGTGTAGCAGCCACAGTGCTCCTGGCGTGCAGCCCGGATGGTGAGCTTGCTGACGTTCTCACTGTTCTCCACCTTGATGTGCTCACTCTCCTGGATCTGGGACAGAGAGTGGGGCAGGCACTGGAGACTTTGAGCCAGAAAGGAAGGGGGCTCCGACCCACACTCCTCACCCCTGGGGATGTGGATACAGCTGCCCAAGCTGTGTGGGGCTGGTCTTGTCTGGGCTCTGAGCTTCCCCCTAAGCGGGGAAGACCCCCTAAGGTCTAGACTCTGAGCTTCCCCCTCTCCTGCATCTAGAGCCAAGCTGCCCTGACAGGGTCGAGATCTGGGACAAGCAGGGAGGGTACTGAGCAGGGTCTGGTGGCCGGGAGTGAGCTGTCACTCTCTGCTCCAGACCGGAAACAGGGCACATTCCAGCCCCCTCCACTGCTCTGGGATGGGATGGTGGGAGAACAGATTTGATCAAAGTCACTTACAAAGCCCACCCAGTGGGTTCTGACCTCTTCTGTGCCGTCAAATACCACAGTCACCAGCCAGACGTGGCTATTCAAATTTTAGTTGAGCGGCAAATCATCCAAAGGTCCATCAACGGATGGACAGATAAACAAGATGTGGTACCTCCAGAAAACGGAATAGTATGTGGCCATAAAAAGGAATAAAATATTGGTTCATGGTACATCATGGATGTGCCCTGAAAACGTAACGCTAAGTGAAAAAACCCAGACACAAAAGAACACATATTGTACGATTCCATTTATATGAAATGCCCAGAATAGGCAAATCCAAAGAGACAGAAAGCAGGTGGGAGATTGCCAGGGTCTGGGGGAAGGGGAGAAATGACTACGAATGGGTCTGGGGTTTCTTTTCGAGGTGATAAAAATGTTCTGGAATCAGAAAATTGTTACGGTTGCCCAACCTTGTGAATATATGTACACTTTAAAAGGATGCATTTTATGGTGTGTGAATTATATCTCAACAAAGCTGTTATAACAATTTTTACTTAACTGAAGTATAAAATTCAGTTCCTCAGTTGCACTAGTCACACTTCAGGTGTGCAATAGCCACATATGGTTAGTGGCTACTCTACTGGATAACAGACATGGTACAATTACATCACTACAGAAAGTTCTGTTGGATGGAGCTGGGACTTGGCTCAATGTCTCTGAAGAGGGTTGAGATTCCATCTTACTTCAGACACCACTAGCCCATGCTTTGGGATAAAGCCAGCTTCTCTTCTTCATCTTTTGAGTCCAACTCTTCTTTCTTCCCCAGTACTAGCCTCCCACCTCTGGGCCTTAGGACAATTTGAATGGGTTGGAAATAGAGCAACAGAGGGCTCAGAAGAAGTCATCACACCTTCTGTAGAGGTCCTGATCCAGGGCCAGCCTGCCGGTCTGGGGCCCCTGCTGGTCAGGCACATGGGCACACACTACCAACGTGGGATCAGAAAAATGGCCAGGCTCCCCAAGTTTCTCTAAAAGGAACTGGTTGTTTGGAAATTCAAACATTTTCCTGTAGGACTGTTGTTATAAATGGAAGTTAGATTTCTGGGTCAGTAAGCCAAAATTCTGTTTAACGTACAACTGATCTACTCAAATACTCAGGTGCACTTTTATCTCTCCAGCATGTGGTAAGTTTAAGTGGTCGCCACAGATAGGGTTCAGTGAGCTGGCACAGAATCACAGAAAGCTCTAGAGTCTGAGAGGTCATTTAGGTCACTGGTTCGACTCCAAGTCGAACTGACTTGGACTGTTCTTTCCTGACTGACTTTCCTGACTCCAAGTAGAATTCTAGACAGAGATACCCAAATCAGGTGGGGGCCATAGGTGGTTTCTGTTTTCTCCTTCATATTCTTCTCTATCACACAAATTGTCTATAAAACAGGCATCCTTGCTAGATGTAGAAGAAAAGGTTATTAAGAGCTCAGATTTGGTGGGTGGGTGACAGGGGTGTGAGGGGCTCTCCCATTTCTCAGGCCCCTGTGATGAGCAGCGATGCTGCCCTTCATCACAGCATTTCTCATCCCTTTCGGCCCACGACGGCTCTGGAACTTGTGTGGGTTGTTCTCGGGCCACTGCCCTGTTACTGACCTGCTTTCGGAACTTCATCCAGGTGCAGGTGATGGGCTGGGTGCCGGCCACTTTACCCAACAGCTCCACAGGCTCTCCTGCACGCACCTTTTGGTCCTCAGGAAACTGGATGATCTGAGGGGGCACGGCTGGGGGAGGACAAGGGAGAGAGTGAGCTCCGAGGAGGAGGGAGCCTCAGACATTCTAATCTCATCCGACGCTGCCAGCCACATTGGTCTGTTGCTCCTCTCTCACCTTCCGGAACCTTCAGGGTAAGACTGAGCAATGACCACTGCTTCAGACACCTGGGCTGACGGATCTGCTAGGTTTGCTGGTCTCTTGATCCTGATTCCCTCAGAAGTGACCCACACAATTTATAAGTCATGATTCTCCGTTCGTTGGTTGTTGTGGAATTTGTGCCTCACCCTAATTTTTTGAATCTGTGACCTTACTCTTTTATTAGTTACAAAGCATCTTGCCTTCTAACCTCCAGGTCACCCTGGCTGACAGGCTCAATATGGTTCACATCCTCAAATGTCTTTCCGTGGAAAATAGACAGGGCTTCCTCTCACAGGGACATACAGAGCAGAGCATGAAAACAGCACAAAGTGGATTATCTCGGTAAGGGGCAGACTGGAGGACAGAGAGGTGAGCAGGATTTCACAGCAGGGATGGGAAAGTCACCAGTATCGTGTGATGCTGTCCATACCAGAGAAGCAGGAGAAAAGGCAAGTAGTGGAAGAGGGTGGGGGACCAAGGTGTACAGAGACTCTTGGGGAAATTTCAGCCTGAATAATGCAGAGCTTGAATCGGGGAGCGGGGTGGGACCACATCCCCAGTGGTCAGTCTAGCAGAGCAAAGGGTAAACCCCTCACAGCAGATGACTCCCTCGCCCGCAAATGTTGCTGTGACCAATTACCTGCCTTCGGAGGTGTCTTGGGCGCAGGTTTCTTTTTCACAGTTGCATCACCTGAAACAAAGAAGTTCACAGGTTACTTTCTGTTATTATTATTTTTTTTTTACAAGGTTCCTGAATCCTAGGAGGGCACAGTCTGATCCACTGGCCCCTCATCCAGATGGAGCCCTCCCTTGAATATGTCTTTCTGGTGACCTTGCAGTCGCACATGGACAACCTCATGAGCGACTGAATACCACTTCTCAACAGGGCCTCTGGAGGGGTCCCCAGAGCCTCCAGGGAGATAAAAACTCTGAAAAATGCTTAAGCTTCCATTGTCCATTTCTATGATGATAACCCCAAACTCACTAACTCTTCTCTTACCCTTTCAGGAAACTCATAAGGGAAATTATGTCAGATAAACTGACTAAATTTAGTCCTTGGTGTGGATCCAAGGGTCTCAGGCTTCCTTTGGGTCACAGACTGTGGACCGTGGCTTTTATTTTGTTAATGTTTGTTGAATGGATCAATGAATGAACAAACAAATGAATGAACAAACCAATGGTCTCCTTCATTCTTACCCCACCCCATTCTCCAAATGACTCACATAAGAAAACTGACCCAGACAGACCAGCTTTGCCGCACAAACCTATTCATTTGTCTAAATAGCAATATGGCGAATATGTAATAAGTTATCTTCACAGCTTATTTTCATATTTCTTTCAGGACTTTGTTCAAAAGTCATCTAACGTACTTACCCAAGTGAAATGAAAACCTACATGCACACAGACACCTGTATATGAATGTTTGTAGTGGGTTTATTTGTGATTGCCAAAAACTAGAAGTTATCCAAATGTCCTTCAACTGGAGAATGAATGAACTGTGGTACATTCATACAAGGAAATACCACTCATCAATAAAAGGGAACAAACTTCTGATATACACAACATGAATGGATCTCAATGATTCATCTTCCTCTTCTGCTAAAAGAAGTCAGACTCAAAGGCTGTGTACTGTATAATTCTATTTGTAGGACATTTTAGAAAAGGCAAAACTGTAGGCACAGAGAAAAGGTGGGTGGGGAGGGGTTGACTACTAAGGGGCATAGGACATATTTTAAGGTGTAGAAACCATATCTTGGTCGTGGTGGTAGTTACAGGACTATACGCATTTGTCAAGAACTGTGCAACAGAATGGGTGAATTTTACTGTATGTAAATTATAATATGAAAAATGGGAAAGAGCTGCTTAACCAGTGAGATCCTCCCTAACCACACTATATCAAATAGCTGTGGTTTTATAGTAGATTGTCCTTGTTTTTAGGAAATATATACTGAAGTATTGAGGTATAGAGGATACCACATGTGCAACTTGCTCTCAAACTGTTCATAAACAATAATGTGTACGTATGTATGTACACGTGTATATGTGTTTGTGAAGAGGTAGAAGGAAAGAGAGGTTGAAAAATAGAGGAAGAGAAGGAGAGAGAACATATGATAAAGCAAAAATGATAAAACATGAATATTTGAAGAATGTGAATGAAGGGTATACAAGAAATATTTGTACTATTTTTGCAACTTTTCCATAGTTCTGAAATTATTTCAAAATAAAAGTTAAACAGAAAGTTAAACAATGTTTTATCCAGCCAGCATGATGTAGTTGTTCAAATGAGGGAGAAAGAGAAAGCAGTGTCTGTTGAGGAGATGGCTGGGAGGTGCGACACAGGGTGGACCTGAGGACTCGAGATGATCTAACCTGGAGAGAAGAGCCCCATTGATCAGGAACCGAGTGACTCAGAGTAGAGAGTCAGGGTGATGTTTGGTGGAGGGTGGCTGGAGCACAGGGCTGGTTTCAGAGAGCAGTGGCACGAAGATGGCGTGACAATTTAAAGAAGATAAAAAATTCAGTTCCTCGGTCACACTAGTCACATTTCAAGTGCTCATAGCCATGCATGTTTAGTGGCTTCCATATTGTGTAGACAGAGAGCACTGCTATCATCACAGAAAGTTCTATTGGACAGTGCTGGTCTAGAATGTCAAGTTTGAGAGTTAGGTCTCTGTCCTGAGTAACAGGAAGTCCTAACACAAACGGCAGTCCAACTGGGCTAGAGGACCCCTGGAGGTCTTTCTAGTTCCAGGGCACAAGAATATCCAATTAGGAGGCTATTGCCATACTCTTAGGAGAAACACATCAAGGTCCAGCCTTGGCAAAGGCAGCAGAAAAGAAAATACAAATAAGAGATGGAAGAAAAGTTAAAAGAATTCCGGGGCTAAACAAGAGGGAGGAACAAAGATTTCTCAGGGACATCTTCCTTGAATAAATGGGAAAAATTTTATCGATGGAACGTGGAATGTAGGAGTGAAAGATGAGGAGTTTGGCTTGGCTCAAGAGAATGTGGTCGATGAAAGGGTTTAATCTGTGTATTGGCTAGAAGCCCAGGATCACAATTCTAGAGATAGTTGGTGGAAGCTGAACGAGAAAGATTTTAGGATCCAACATGCAATCATTAATGGAAACTGTGAGGATGGGTCAGTTCTTTGGGGAAAAGAGTACAGTGAAAGATGAGAAAGGGCCAGGGTCTGATCTGAGCTGATACTCTCAGGGAGGAGCTGGGCTGAAGGAGAGGGGCTGTGGAAGGACTGTTCCTGAAACCCAGGGTGGAGGAGGATGGGTACTGGGAGGATACGACCAGCATCAGGTGATGGGTGGTATTTGAGAGGGCAGGTTCTGTGGGATGGTGGGGTCAGAAGTTGCTCTAGAGTAGATTCTTAAGGACACAGCTAGGGAGTCAACTAATCCATCAAGAATTCTGGAGGTGAAAGGGACAAAGAGAAGCAGGTGAAGAAGAGGAAATGTCAAGCTAACGTTTCTTCCAAGGTGAGAGAGAAGAGAACAGATGTGAAAGCAGAAGGCTAGGACTAGGTGGAGAGGGAGAGCGCAGGGACGCTGGCAGGGAAGAGCCTGGGAAAGCCAGATCCCTCGGGAGTGCGTACTGGATGGGATACGGAACCCTCAGAATTGGCCGAGCCACAAAGCCCCTGCTCCCCTGCACCCAGGGCAGCTGGAAGGGAGACGGCACAACTGGAAGAGAGCAGCCCTCAAGGGAAGGAAAGAGGGGCTCATACCAGAGCCGGGATCTGACCTCCTGGGAGAGGGAAAGCCATCTCTTCAGAGGAACTGTGTGGAGGGCTGTTGTTATGGGCTGAGTGGTGTCTCCCGCAGTTCATATGTTGAAGCCCTAGCCCCCAATACCTCAGAATATGACTATATTTGGAGACAGGAACTTTAAAGAGGTGATCAAATTAAAAGGAGGCTGTTAGTGTGGACCCTCATCCAAACCGACTGGTGTCCTTATAAGAACAGGAAATGTGGGCACACGGAGAGACACCAGGGATGCACACGCAGAAAAAGGGCCGTGTGAGGCAAGAAGCCTGCCACCTGCAGGCCAAGGAGAGAGGCCTCAGGAGAAACCAAACCTGCTGACACCTGATCTCGGACTTCCAGCTTCCAGAACCGTGAGACAATACATTTCTGATGTTTAGGTCCTCCAGTCTGTGGTACTTTGTTATGGCAGCCCTAGCACACTGTAGCTGCGGATGAGCTCTGGGGGCAGGGAAGGAGACTGCCAGCCCCTGGAGTGGTGGGCTAGGAGTTAATCAGAAGGCAAGGAAGGGCACAAAGTGAAAGCAGATGACTCCAAAGTGCCCCCCTATACTATTCTTGGGGGCTCTGGGTAAACCTACCTGGCCAGAAGTAGAGCCTGAACTAATAGCAATATTTCTATGTTACAGTTAAATAAGATTGAAGGCCAAAGTTTTATGGTAGTTCTACAAATTCCGAGCGCCTCCTGTTTGAATTGGTTAGCATTTGAAACTGGTTTGGTTCCTATCAGTAACAACTATTTGAAACATTAACAGTGTTCTGTATCCTCTTCTATACATATTTTATAGGACCATCTGCTGAAATCCATTAACTGCGTTCTGTGCTTAGGAGAACATATTTAATGGATTAGGAAGCAGAGTCACTGGATTCTAATCCTGGTTTCTCGTAGAGAGCTAGACTCAGCAAGTTGAGTTTCTAACCCATGATGTCATCATCCTTTTTCTCACTGGGTTCTTACCCCAACCAAACACAAGCAGGGCACTTCACGTTGTTTCCATTTCATGAAAAAGGAGATGGATTTGAATAAAAGTCAGATGACTTGCTGGGTTTATAAAACGACATGCGGCCAAGTGAGAAACAGGATTTAACCCTCTTGCTGCCCAGTGTATGGCTGCTTTCCTCCTGTTTCCTCTTGACTCCAGCTGACACTCTGCCCCGTCCTCAAACCAAATCCTTGAAACCTTTCTCTGTCCCTTTGCAGAAATGCAGTGGGTGTAGGCTCTGGCACTGGACTTGGGTTTGAATACTGCCCTGTTACTTCCTAAGCTGTGTGACTTATAGCCTGTTATTTAACCTCTTGGAGCTTCAGTTTCCTCATTCAAAGAATGTGGGAAGAATAAATAAAATTTGTTGTAAAGAATTAAGCTACATTGTAAAGAAGGTATAGCAATAAAGTGCAAGCTCTAACACCAGCCCTACCACCCATTCACCTTTCTTCCCCAAACACATCCCCAGAGGACTTCTCTGTACTTTCCTTCACCTGTTTAGTCTCCACACTGTTGGTCAGGTCAGCTTTATACCTACACGAGGTCGCTCATGCTGCACCTGAAGCTCCTTCCCCAGTTCAGGTCCTCAGTAGAGGGAAAATTCTTGCTGGTCCAGATGCCCAAGCTCTCAGTACTTCTTGGGTCACTAACTAGTTTCTTTTCCTCTGGATGCACCCTTCTTATTATCTTATTATTGCTGTCAGCCCTTTGTCCCTCACCCCCTTCTCCAGCACCCCAAACTTTCTGTGCTAGCCATTGCCAGAGAGGAGTATCACAGAAGGAAAATAAAATCCAACCATCTTTGCAAACCTCAGACACAGGGTGAGGCAAGGAGGGCAGAGTGTCCTCCCTCTCCTTTTTTTTTTTTTTTTTTTTTTTGGCGGTACACGGGCCTCTCACTGTTGTGGCCTCTCCCGTTGCGGAGCAC